ACAGAAAACACATAAAAGAATCAAAATATTCACTTTCACGTCCCTTTTGATATGCTACATAGAGATTATATTTCTAGTTCAGTTATCAAATTATACGAAATCTTATGTTATTTTGTTACTTGTCAGTTGTGGGAACAATACGCGAAATACGTCACAGTGTTTCTTATAGAGTTTTCCTTGCAATTCCTGGATTATATCGCTTGATTATGTTTCTTTTTCATGTTAGTGTCTGATAAAAAAAAAAATCTTCAAAAATATACATAAACTAACTGCAGACATGTATTACATGACTATACTAAGACAAAAAAAAACTGCTTTAAAATAGATAATGATTTTGCTTTAGAACACCTCCTAATGTTTACATGTTACACAGCCGTATATAAGATATTTGATATATTTCAGTGACAATGATAATTTTATCACTTCCTTCGGATACATTAACTCTCTGGGGCATTTCCCCTATAAATCTTTACATTTCTCCTTGTAGTAACGATTTAAATATTTTTTTCCGGAAAGGATTATCATCATAGACGGACGACGTTGAAATCTTTAAAAGTCAGAGATAATTTCACAAAGGACCACCCCCCCCCCCCTCCCACCCTTCTCTAACCCCGATAAATATCCATTGGAATACTGAACATATTTCCTATGACAAACTTAATGTGTTATTTCATGGATAATCTGGATAAAATCCTTTTAAAAATACTCGCTTACTTCAAGATTATCAATATATACTAGTAGTGTAGTTAAATATGTACATTCGTTTTTATACAGGAAAATATCTATAGAATAATCTTTTTTTTTTTTTTTCATTTTTCATTTCAAGACTTGGAATGTCCTAAAAATGTATTAGAAAAATAATTTCTGAAAAAAAAAAATAATCCAGTTAAATCATCGGTTATGGAGCGGAAAGGGGGGTGTCTTGTCCACAAGTAATGAATGATCGTGTTTGTATTTCTTACAGAACTGGGAACAGATAATCTTTATTTATAGACAATAGAAAAGGTTGAGTGTACCATGTTTTACTTAAATTTTGGTAGAAAATGCCAAAAACGTACACCACTGTCTAGGATTATAAGTCTTATAAACTTAGTTTGTCAACATAATTAGTTTTTCCTTATCTATAAAAATTCCTTGTAAATTATAAATTAAACCCAATTTTAATTGAAAATACTGATGTCAATATTCCGATCAGCATGATAAATGTATATATAATTAATAAGTGTAAATAAGAATAAGACACTAGAATCCTTTCTGACATAATTAATTTTGTCAAATAAAAATCTGCAACAATACAGTGACAAGGATAACAAGTTTTGGAGAGAAAAAAAGTTCAAATGGTGATTTCTACTAGTATACGCCAAGCTTCCCTCCTACCCCCCCCCCCTCCCTTTACCTGCCCCGATCACTAACTACATGTATTGTCTTTTGATATTTATGAATCCCACACATATATAAATTGAAAACGAATAAAACATACTTAAGAAAGCTAATGATTTTTAATAAAAAGGTAAAAAAAAAACCCCAAACTTTTCTTGAACAGTCAAATAAAGTCCATGTCCACTATGAAGGAGACGCGCGTTTTAATTGATTGGAGGTACATGTATGTAATTAAATGTAAATTAATCGTCTGAACCAGCCTAACTTATGTTTTTATTACTTTTTCACGCTGTAAATATTGATTGAATATTTATCATAGTTGCGAAGAAGAAATATGATTGCTCTTTGTGACGTCATTTTTTCAATGCATTGCGTCATTAATTACATGTAATGTCCCATAATAAATTTCACTGAGAAAGGTTTCTATGGTTTTCATTTGCATAAATTGTATCAATTTTTTTTTTTCAAATGCAGAATTGAATTTAAAAGACAATAAAAAGAATAATAAAACCTTCAGACAAAGTATTAAACAATTTATTTCTTTAAAAGTATAGATTTATTGTGGAGAAAAGTGACGTCTACGCAAAAATGCAGCATTTTCAACTTCAATTTTTGGTAAAAACGGATGTGGCCGCACATTTGTAAGGTCATTTTTTCTTTTTAATATTAGAAATCGGGTTATATTTGTTCTTTCTGTGAAGTTTCGCATACATACTCGGATGCGGCCATATCGAAATATAGGCTTGAAGAGGAGGAAAACGTCCAAAATAAGGGAATTCCGGAATATAAGACCGGTTTTAAACGTTATATAAATGAAAGGGCGCTTGAGTTGAGAAAAATTGTTACCCATTTCACACACAGGGAAACCTCAACAGTAACTTGATACACTTAATAAAATGTAAACCTGCGTTTCATTTTTGCCGATTTTACAGGGCCGATTATTGGGCTTACCGTACCCAGTTCTTTGAAGCCCTTCACCGGTATATGCATGGTGACGTCTCTATATGAGTGAAAAATTCTCGAATGGGACGAAAAACAACATACAATCAATCAATCAATCAAAAAAGGCGAAGGCGAAGGTGCGAAGGCGAGAGTGCGGTAAATTAATGAACCTACACACAGTAACTCTAAAAATTCACTGGATTTAGCGCACTAAAATGAACTCATAACGATAAAGAGCTCCATTAAAGTTAAAAAAAAAAAAAAAAAAAAAGCAAAGGCGAAAGTGAGAATCGAAGTTCCGAAGGCGAAAGTGCGATATAAGTATCGCTCCTTCGCCTTCGCACTCTCGCCTTCGCATCATCGCGCTTCGCCGTCGCATCTTCGCACTATCGCCTCCGCAAATTCGCACTCTCGCATCTTCGCCCTAAAGGCGAGAGTGCGAAGGTGCGCGTAGCCCCAACGGAACACCATAATTTTAACAATTCTTTGGAATTTGACATACATGTATGTGCAACATTTGCTTGTTTGCTATATATACGTTTTTCACTCATGTAGAGTCCAATCAATTCCTGATGGAAGGCTGCAAAATTTTGACCTACACTCGGCTCTTACTGCCACCGAGCAGTGACAGAATTTTTTCGTGCCACATTTACTCCTACTCAGGACCTCGTTTAAACACAGACCTCGGTTTTAATGACAGCAGTCTCCACGTCCGGCAGTGGATCCGAACCCGATAGGTTAGGATCTGCTCCTCACAACATTCCCGCCAGAGACGATTTATTTTCTAAATTAGTTTTTTCCCAAATGTTTCCGAAACTTATGGCCGGGGGGGGGGGGGGCATACTTTAAAAAAAATCCAAAAACTAAATTTCCACTACCAAATCTTCAGTGTGTTCACTGCATTTCATGGCATCAAGGACGTTCAGCATCCGTTGTCCTTATAAGGTTAACAAAGTGAATACTTCTCAATTTCTTGTACAGTTCCTCTTGCGATAAAAAAAATATGTTTGTGGGAATAATCTTTGTAAACCTTTGACTTTGCAAGATGACGACATACAGAGTCCAGCCTAGCCCGAGGGGAATAGTTCCTGTAACGGGTTTGGTAACACTGGTAATAGAACTTTCCACAACTCATAGCTAGTGAATAAACAGGTGTATTCAGGGTTGTGAAGGTACATATTATCGTTCTGTACAGTCATATTGTCGTGGGCGACATACATGTACCTACCTTCCTTTACTGCACATTGTCGTGCATCGGTACATGATGTCGCCAGTTGAAAGTAACACATGCATATATTGTCGCTGGCGACATTGTGAGCCTACCCTTCTCAAACAAATTGTCGCCCCACAGATATTTTTTTTCTTGTAGTTTTGTGATGTAATTGGTGTGTAAATCACACTGACATGTCTCGTATGCTATATCATGCAAAGCGATTGTGACGGTACATACTGTATTTCTGTTCGAGGCTCCCTATTCATATTGTCGCCGGCGACAATGTCTACCTACCCTAACTGCACACATTGTCGTCCATCGGTACATGTTGCATGACATGACAATATTTCATAAAAATATGACTAATCATTTCTTTGCTGTTCTTGATAAGATTTTTAAAGAATTTTCCTAGTAAATAGTCCTAAGTAAAATTTTGATCGCCCATTGTGGCCCCATCCTAGCCCCGGCGGTCAACTCATGATTTGAAGAAACTTGCATTTACTATCACAGTTCACAAGGGTTTTACCACTGATGGCATGAGGTTGCCACCAGTGAATTATGCAGTAACTGGCCACCAAGTGCTACCATTTTGAGCAGTTTTTCCCTGAAGAACTATGGACAATTTTTGGTCCATTAATTCCTTATAATTGGTAACCAATTGTTACCATTTCAACAAAATGGGAAAACTTTTCATCTAAATAATTGAAACTTACAGGGGATTCGTTTTATGATCTCTCCCTGCCCATAGCTAATTGTAAACCAATAAACTGCGGGGTCAGAAATAATTCTACAAGTAAGAGCCTCGGTTAACGTCCCTACGCTCCTTCTATACCTCATACCCAAAAAGCATCTCGCCGTGAACCTCCAGCATGCTAAAGTAGGGTAAGAAGTGTCCTTATCAGGGCCTTTCTTACAATGCATGTTCCTTTGGTTCTTAGATAAAATCTAAAAGTGTTCAGTTTTCTCTAGATTGCAAGTAAAATAATTCAACAAATCGTATTTTGTTGATTTTTCTTTTGATGGAGAGACGTCTTAGGTTTCTAGAAGTCAGATTTCGTGACTGCTTCGATTTGTGACATAATACTAATTGTGTGCTCCATTCTGTCAGTTTTTGTTTAACACATTCAAGCGCTTTATCAAAACGAACGAAGAACATTTTCATTCGTTGGATATTGATGGTGCTGAAATAAATCATGTGGTAATGCATAATTTAACTTCTGTCAAACCACCATATTGCTAGAGAAGTTTGCCGACCTCGTTCAGATGTGGAAGTAGACTAACTGTTAACATAAGTATTCCGTTGTTACCATTTGTAACATTTTTTTTAACAATTGGTGAACTTAAATTCCATCATTTGCAGATGGGGAGAACCTTGAACACATACTTCATGTACTTAGCAGTTCATTAAAACTGATAAAAACAAATCATATACAGTGTATGAAATTCATCAAGTAAAAAAAAGAAAGTAAAGCCAATAAGATGCATTTATATTAGACTTTATATTCTACATACTTGACAGCATCATGCTAATTCTCAACAATATCACAACTGATACTTAACAAGAAACAGCCATACAATTCAGTCTATGTAACCAAGGAAATGACCTTAAAGCAGGATGTCAAGGTCAAACTGACAAAACAAATATTTTTTCAATCTAATCAGTTTTTTGTTACATATCATCTTGAACAGTTGCAAGTCAGGACAATTAATGTGTGCTGCAGATTATTTAGGCATGCACTTCGTAATAACATCCATTTTTCATAACAAAATTAAAGTTATGATAACTATGTTCATGAACAAAAAATATATAAAGATATACCTTTGAGTCTTTGAGAAATGAAAGAAAATATGGTACATGTCAATTGCAATGCTGATAATCTTATTTTTAAAAAAATGAATATGTTTCAGTTTTAGAAAGAGCAAAATCTTCTCACACAATTCACACAACTTTCGCTCACACCTTCATTCAAAACTACGAGTAATGCCAACATTAGCACTGTAAAAAAAAGGAACACAGTGAAAAAAGTAACAACAAAATCTTTGTTCTGATATAGAATGAAAACTGTGAGATCATATGAAACAATGCATGAACAAAAATAATTTGGAATGCATCTACAGTCATAGCAAGATGAGCAATAGGAAAGATGGCGCTGTTTTACATGTATATATACTTTATTAGTTTCATATGTATGATTTGTTCTTCTAAAGTTAATTAAGACAACAAGGGTAAAATAAAATTTAAAATCAATACACTACATTCCATTTTATTTTTCAGAATGAAGACTTGTACTGTTTTTCATATCAAAAATGAAAGGCTGTATGCAGACTCCATCAATATACATCCATTAGAGTGTATAAATGACCATTTTTTGTTCAGTATATTATAGTGTGAAGCTACCATAAAGGAAGGGTCAAAGACATAAGAAAACAAAGCACTTAAGGGAAAAAAATACCCAGTAACCAATGTGTAAATAAAAAATATATATACATTGTTACTTTATATGTACAATAAATATAAATATTCTGACTTTGAAATATACATATATTACACGTCTGATTGCTATTGGTTGCTTTTAAAAGTGTAAGTAATTAACCAACTAATCAGTAATTAACAGAATCTGATTATAACTGATGATTTAGTGAATGAGAATGAAGGCTAAAGACAAGTAAGTGAAGCAATATAGTGTCCTTTTGGGAGAAAATAAAATGTAGCCAGAGTTTACAGGTTATATCCATTCTAGTTAAGAATCTTCAGTTCTAATTTAGTACACATTCTTTTCATCTTGATTTGGACAAATTTACAAACAAAACTAAAATTCAGACACTTTTAGATACTTTAAAAACAACAAAGGGAACCAAAATCCAAATAAAAGTAAAAACCATACAAAACACGGTTGGACAAATAGGAAAGCGCATATACATGTACATATTTATTTCTCAGGGGCCATACATACTCTATTTACAAAATTTACATTTTTACAGTGTCTAAGCTAGATAATATATATTTTACTCACTATATACAAGTATTTATATAATTAAATATTTACAACCAAGCAAAAGGAAACAGACTTGTTTGAAAATTGTTTAAAGTCTGAATTTAAATAAATCCAATAATGTATGCAAAAAAAGAAAAGTTTTGAGTCCCAAAAGTTTGTAATTTGCAACTTTTTCCCTAACAAACATTGATTTAAAACTATCATACATGTACATGTACTCACCAAGTTATAACGAAGATTAATAAATTTCCATCATCATCAGAGACTTAGATCATTTTATTTATTTTACTAGATTTCCTTCTTATAAAAAAAAGAGGATAATATTGTATATGATGTTTCATCTAAGATTAACATTATGATATACACTTTCTAACAAATGAAAAACTTTACCATTTCACCAATCTAGTATAACTTAACTACTGTGAAGAAAAATAAAGTTTCTTTGTCAAGATCATTGCAGTTTCATTTGAGGAATGCAAAATTAAAAAAATATTTCTTCCCCCAGAACAAAATGATAATATCACGCTGAAAACAGTACACACATAATAGACATGTGCCACCTCTCAACAAAACAATAAACAAAATATTGCACATAAGAGCTTTGTAAAGTTATCTAACAAAATTATCACTGATTCTTCTTGATCCTCCTTTGAGTACCAGTAATGGTAGATATATTTGGATATGATAAATAAAATATTTTTATTTAATGAAGATAACAAAAAAAGACAGCTGAATAAGAAAATCTCTATATGGAATATTTTCATAAGCCTCATTGATACACAGAGAAAATGTGGCCATGGAATTCAAACGTCTACATCTTACCCCCCTCCTTGAATCTATAAAACCCACTTCACACCAGCAATACACCATCTTGCATAAAAATCCTTCACGCTTTATCTAAATCTCCATTTTCAGCCCATGTCCAATAGATGAACATTCACTGCACCTGATCACATCTTTGAATGGACATGATGGTTTTTTCATGCGATTTTTCCCATGAAGAGAACACTATTTGGCTGTTGTGTTTAACACCCTAAATGGCTGTTATGAGAAATATCCTGATACAGAGCTGTTACCATTGGTACCATTTTTTATTCTTGTACTTCAACATCAGTGCTCTGGAGTCGGCAGCAAAATTCTCAGCATGTTCTCTCATTTGTTCTGAACGTTCTCCAAGCTCTCCCAATTTTTCACCTCTTTCAATGAAGTTCTACAGAAAAAAAAGGAACAAGATATCAAGAACATGTATTGCTATCTGCTTTTTTAACATTTAAAATATTTTATTCTTTTAGAAGTAGAATTTTAGGAATCTGAAATACAACATAGCTTGTTGGTATACTGAATTTCATTTTTAAAGTCAATATGTAAGTAATATCAAACAATAGGTATAGTGCCACAAGCTATTACATCAAAACAAGAGGCCCATGGGCCATAACGCTCACCTGAGTCACTTGACTCTGTTGCTCTGTTCTTCATCAGCAGATTTCTTTAATTTCCCTCTTTAATTTCATAAAAGTTTTGACTCCATTTTGTTGACAAAATCTAGCCCTAAGAGAGCTATGATTCAATCAAAGTTGAATCCACTCAACAATGGGATGCTTCGATATCAATACAATCAATATGGCCCTGCTGTTCTGGAGAAATTTATTTTTCTGTACACACAAGACACATGCATTATGTTAAGTTCCATCCTACCCCCAGGGGCCATGATTTGAACAAACTTAAATCTATCCAACCTGATGATGCTTCCATATAAATATGACTAATAATGTTCTTGAGCAGAAGTTTTTTCTCTTAGCTATCATGTATATATTCTTCAGGGGTCATGTCTTGAATATTTGAATATACTATACCTGGGTAAGCTTTCATATTACTATGACTAATCATGGCTTTGCTCTTCTTGAGGATTTTATTTTTGATGATATTCTTCCTTTATATTCCGTTGAAAAATGTTGATCTCCTTTTGTGGCCCCATCCTACCCCCAGGGGTCATGGCTTGAACAAATTTGAACCTGCACTACCCGAGGATGCTTCCATATTAATTTGACTAATCATGGCTTTACTCTTCTTGAGGATAAGATTTATAATGGTTTTTTTTTTTCAATATATTCCTATGTTAAAATTTTATTGCCCATTGTGGCCCCACCCTACCCCTGGGGACCATGATTTGAACAAGGTTGATTCTACACTATGTAATGAAACTTTCACCTAAGTTTCATCTTTTTTGGCCCAGTGGTTCTTGAGAAGGTTTTTAAAAGACACCATTAAATTTTCACCAAGTCTTTATCATCTCCCCTTGAAAGAAAGCATGGCCCTTCATTTGAACAAAGTTGAATCCCCTTCACCCAAGGATACTTTGTTGCAAGATTGGCTAAAAGTGGTTTTGGAGAAGATGAAAATGTGAAAAGTTAACAACAACAACCACATCAACACACATCGGACAAATTGTGTGATCAGAAAAGCTCACTTGAGTTTTGGCTCAGGCAAGCTAAAACACTGGCTACCTATAAGTACCAAAAAATATAAGTGCTAGTAACATGAGGTTTTTACCCTATGAGCTCTGGCTACTTCTGAATTGCCACTTGCAGCTTGGGATTGTACATACTGCATACCTCCCTTGCCCTGGAGCTTGGTAGCTAGACCTCGAGGTCCCTTACCACTGGCCTCACCAACTGTAAAACACAAAGTTATGTACACTGTTAATTGCTGCTCATCAATGAAAAACATTTTCCACATCTTCCACTAACAGACATTCTAACAGTCACAAGACTGATTATGATTAAGGACTATTTATACACTAAGAAGAAAAGTGTTTTATTGAACATCGACAGAATAATATTGTATAAAGTTATACACATTGAGTTTATACAGTCTGTTTTGAGCAAATGGCAGCAGCCATTTACCTCCAGAGAAAATGTTCAAAGGTAGCGAAGTACATGTATTGATGAACAGATATTAGTCAAATCAATTTAAATTGGCCTAATAAGATGTTAACAGGGAATTTCATCCCCTCTTACACAGCTCTTCTCTATCAAGTGTGGACTGTCCTGATCCAAACCAATTCTTGAAGAATCCTTGCTTTGGGGGTTCAGGTGTCTCACAAGGTTTAAATAATTCTCCCAGCATCTCATTCAAGTTATCACTGAAAATTTACCAAATTTACACGTTGACAAAAAATACATAGCTAAACTTATTAAGCAAAGCTAATAAATGCCTTAACAAATGATTAGAACCTGCTGTTCATATAAGCAGATCTTTTATCATATTTTTTAATTGCAAAAATATTTTTAAAATATATTTAATGATAAAATGATTTAAAGATTGAAGACCCCCCCCCCAAAAAAAAAAATCTGCACAGCATACCTCATATCAGCAGAGAATGTTATCTTTTGAATTTCTGTAGCTGAACAAAGGTAACTGGCATGGCCGTTCCTACTAAAACAAAACGTGCGAGCGATCCTGACATCATTCAGGGGTAGGAAATCAATGTCAAGGAGAGGCTTGAGACTCGGCAAGCTGAATGCCATGATTCGACCATTAGCCACATAGCATGCAAGACAAACTGAATCTGGAAAAAAAATGAGAAAATCTGTACATGCATGAAATTTAATTTTTTTCCAATACAGTCCAACCTCGTTATCTCAAACTCAAAGGGACCAAGATTAAACTTCGAGATAACAAAAGATTTGAGATAACGAGAGTAAAAACTCAAAGAAAAAAGTAGTTGGGACTGCAAAATCACTTCGCCATATCCCAGGTGTTCGAGATATTGATGTTTGAGATACCGTATGTGTGGAACCAAATACTGAAAATATTTACATAACTTCATTTTAAAAAATTTAATTAAGTACTCAATTTTGTGGGGGCTGGTATTTATCAATAATTCTTTGTGTATGTGTGAATTTCTGTGGTAAGTAGGGGATTTTTGCTAGTCGCGGAGAGATGCAGTTTAATATGCTTACAATTTACTGTTAAGCATAACAGTTGTTATTTACAATCAAATCTGAAAAACCTTCTAGTTAATGTGACCCAGTAAAAATTATAAACCTACCTCTAAGTGTAACTACATCAGCCCTGACTACAAATGAGGAGTCTGTTATCCTTGTCTTATAAGGACATTGTTGTGAAGGTAGTGAAATCACCTGTAAGAAAAATCAGTACATGTACAGTACAATTCGTTTTTTATCATACCGGTTTTATATCATACTTCTTTTTTTATCATAGATAGTTGAAACACAAAACCATTTCTTAATAATTCATTATAAGTTTCGTCTGTTATTATCATAGGTAAAAGTATACACTTCGCTTACTATAATAGAAAATTTTCGTCCGTAATATTTTTTTTCACACCTTTTCACTCTTGGGACAATCAACAAAACAAAAGATAACACCTATCTACACCTGTGGTTCATGCACTGTCGCTTGTCTATACACAATGGCTTGATTTTTCAGTTTGAAATTTGCCGATAGTGAAAGACCGGGGAGATTAGTCACACTTCAGTGCACTTACCTGAGCGATTTACATGAAGTCTGTTTATTTCATGAAGTACATGACAGACTAACACGAACTCTTATTTTTCATGATTTATTTTCTTCTTACGTTAATCCTGAATAGGAGGTTCGTAATGAATCGTTTCACCAAATGTGTTGAAACTAAATTTAGTGTCAGTATTAACCCAAACTTTCTTACGCTTGGTGTCAGGATCAATGTTCATAGTTAATTACATTTACAGAACTACCCAATTAAGAAATAATTAAGTGAAATTAGCTCTTTCATCAGTCTGTCCAAGCAGCTTTGAATTTATACGCTCATCAGTGTATCAATTAATTTTAATTGTACGACGACATTAAGTGTAAATAGGTAATTTTTTATGTCTACTTCGGATGAATAAATTTAAAGAAACAATGTGAATGCATGCTTTGTTGCTGTGTTAATTTATTTAATATGTGACCAAAAAAAAAAAAAAACTAGTAAACTAATTGTTCAGAGAACAATTAGAGGCCTTTCCACCTTTTTAAGTGTTTCCGTGTCATCTGAGCTGAAAAAAAAAGAAGAAAAATGCAAAAAATGAAAAGAAAAGAAAAAAAAATGCTCCTCCAGCTGGGCTCGAACTCAAAACCCTTGGATTGAAAGGCAGGTGCGCTAACCATTCGGCCACGCATTCCGATAACATACATCAGTTAATTGTTTAAGACTATAGAAGAAATGCAAGCGTATTTTTAGAATCGGTAGGGGAAGAAAGAAGTTCCGTAAAAGGAAATAGTTCCTGAACTTGCAAGCAGTATATAAAATAACAAGGGACGGGCTGCGTGAGAAAATGTTAACACTGTTCCCTAATGAAAATGTATTAATGGACTGTAGACCGATTCATCGATATTGTGAGCATGCTGAATTTTTTGTAAATAGCTTCGTTGTAAGCTGAAAAGATCGGGTTCGGATTTTAACATTTCTGACTGAATATCCTGAAATAAATATGAAACATTTAAATAAGCATTTCTTTGGGTTAAATTAAATATGTGTATCACAAATTAAACTCCCAACATGCATTTTTAGAAGGGAAAGACGACAATGAAAGCGAGAATTGTTTTAAATCTACCGAAAATCGCTATTTCTGGAAACTGATTAATTCTAAATAAAAATCAAATAAATTCCAAATGTAAAAGAAAGAGAGAATGCTTGGTATTAAAATGTCGTATCATATCAGGAGAATCGAATGCTGCTAACGACATCTGAAGAAATAGCCGATAAAAGGTTTAGATCATTTCTTCGTTCACCTGCACTTTAATTACAAACACAACAGAACTTGTAGTTTTTGCCGTGAAACTTCAAGGCTTCTATAAACTTATAGGACTCACCGTAAAACTCTCCAGAAACTTTCTCTGAGGTCTATACTACAATTGTACCAAATATGGTGTCGATCCGAGGTCTGGTTTGAATTTGACAGACATATTCTACGTTGTTTTTGATGTGATTTTTTTTTTTTTAAGAAGGGGGGGGGGGGGGAGGTTAATTATTTATTTTATGCCTGTTTTAAACTAAGAATTGTAACTACTTCCACATCCTTAAGCCTGATTGTGACCTTGGGTCAAGGTCAAAGGTCAAGGTCAAAGGTCAAGGTCATAAAAAAAAGAAAAAAAGAAGAAGAGAAATCTTTACTTTTCTATGTTTTTACCTGATACTGGAGCTGAATGCATGTCCTTACTTTTCCATTTGACCCAAGGTCAAGGTGAAAGGTCAAGGTCAAAGTTCAAGGTCATTTGGTAAATCGCCATATTTTACACATATATAAGGAATTTCTAATGTTTTTAAATGACCTTGACCTTTGACCTTGACCTATATTTCAAGGTCAAAGGTCGAACATGCCCATGCAGTTGATCCCATGTCTCTACGATACACCGTTTTAAGAAAAAGTTCATTAAATGTAAGCAGCGTAAACTTTCAGGGGCAGTAACTCATACAAGGGACCAAAGAATGCTTTCGCAATGATAGAATGAAGAGAGTACTAAATGAGTCGAAGACACTGATGAAGGTTTGGAATCTCTACGGTTTACGGTTTCGGAGGAGTAGCGATAACAAGGTTTTGTTGCAAAAGGAGTGACAACTTTTGAATGGGTCAAGCTCGGGGGACAAGAATGAAATCTTTGAAATAGTTTTAGAAGGACATATTATAGATGCAAAGATATTCAGTATATGTTGAAAGACAAAAGAGATATTAAAAAAGCTAATTTTCTCATATTTTGAATGACCTTGACCTTTGACCTCTATATAAATTTCAAGGTCAAAGGTTGAGATATCCAATGCCATTGGTCCCATGTCTCTACGATTAATCGTTTAAAAAAAAAAAATATTCGTAACCATCAAAAACTTTCAGGGGCAATAACTAATTAAAGGGGTTCATGCAACCTTTCGCACTGAAAAGATTGAAGAGTCTACTAAATTAGTCGAAGACATTAGTGAAGGTTTCGTATCTCTAAGGTTTAAGGTTTCGAAGGAGTAGCGATAACAAGCTTTCATTGCGAAAGGGGTTATAACTCCTTGAGGGGTCAAAGTTCATATACACAGGGTCAACTGCAAAAATCTTTTACGAAGTACATTCTTATGGACTATAAATCTTTTCGATAACTTATGAAACAAAAAATCATTCGGCGGAAAAATAATAATAATAATAATAACTAGGAGACTAATTGTTCAGAGAACAATTAGAGGCCTTTCCACCTTTCTAAGTGTTTCCGTGTCATTTGGGTTGAAAAAAAGAAGAAAAATGCAAAAAAAAAAAAAAAAAAAAAAAAAAATGGACCTCCAGCTGGGCTCGAACTCAAAACCCTTGGGTTGAAAAGCAGGTGCGCTAACCATTCGGCCACGCATTCCGATAACATACGTAAGTTAATTGTTTAAGACTATAGAAGAAATGCAAGCGTATTTTTAGAATCGGTAGGGGAAGAAAGAAGTTCCGTAAAAGGAAATAGTTCCTGAATTTGCAAGCAGTATATAAAATAATAAGGGACGGGCTGCGTGAGAAAACGTTAACACTGTTCCCTAATGAAAATGTATTAATGGACTGTAGCCTGATTCATCGATATTGTGAGCATGCTGATTTTTTTGTAAATAGCTTCGTTGTAAGCTTAAAAGATCGGGTTCGGATTTTAACATTTCTGACTGAATATCCTGAAATAAATATGAAACATTTAAATAAGCATTTCTTTGGGTTTAATTAAATATGTGTAGCCCAAATTTAATTCCCAACATGCATTTTTAGAAGGGAAACACGACAATGAAAGCGAGAATTGTTTTTAATATACCGAAAATCGCCATTTCTGGAAACTGATTAATTCTAAATAAAAATCAAATAAATTCCAAATGTAAAAGAAAGAGAGAATGCTTGGTATTAAAATGTCGTATCATATCAGGAGAATTAAATGCTACTAACGACATCTGAAGAAATAGCCGATAAAAGGTTTAGATCATTTCTTCGTTCACCTGCACTTAAATTTCAAACACAACAGAACTTGTAGTTTTTGCCGTGAAACTTCATGACCTCTATAAACTTACAAGACTCACCGTAAAACTCTCCAGAAAGTTTCTCTGAGGTCTGTACTACATTTGTACCAAATCTGGTGTCGATCCGAGGTCTGGTTTGAATTCTAGAGTAATATTCTACATTGTTGTTGATGGGATTTTTTTTTTTTTTTTAAGAAAGGGGGGGGGGGGTGAATTATTTATTTTATGCCTCTTTCAAACTAAGAATTGTAACTACTTCCACATCCTTAAGCCTTATTGTGACCTTTGAGAAGTGGTCAAAGGTCAAGGTCAAGGTCATTCAAAAAAAAAAAAAAAAAAAAAAAAAAAACAAGAAATCTTTACTTTCTGTATTTTTACCTGATACTGGAGCTGGATGCATATCCTAACTTTTCTATTTGACCCAATGTCAAGGTCAAAGGTCAAGGTCAAAGTTCAAGGTCATTTGGCGAATTGCTATATTTTACACATATATAAGGGATTTTTTTATGTTTTTTAATGACCTTGACCTTTGACCTTGACCTATATTTCAAGTCAAAGGTCAAATATGCCGATGCAGTTGGTCCCATGTCTCTAGGATACACCGTTTTAAAAATAAGTTCATTAAATGTAAGTAGCGTAAACTTTCAGGGGCAGTAACTCATACAAGGGACCAAAGAATGCTTTCGCAATGATAGAATGAAGAGAGTACTAAATGAGTGGAAGACACTGATGAAGGTTTGGAATCTCTACGGTTTACGGTTTCGGAGGAGTAGTGATAACAAGGTTTTGTTGCAAAAGGGGTGACAACTTTTGAATGGGTCAAGCTCAGGGGACAAGAATGAAATCTTTGAAATAGTTTTAGAAGGACATATTATAGGTGCAAAGATAATCAGTATATGTTGAAAGACAAAAGAGATATTAAAAAAGCTAATTTTCTCATGTTTTGAATGACCTTGACCTTTGACCTTCACAAAAATTTCAAGGTCAGAGGTCACAAAATCTAATGCAGTTGGTCCCATGTCCTTACCACTTATCGTTTAGAGAATTTTGTCATTATTCGTAAACATCAAAAACTCTCAGGGGCAGTAATTTATTAAAGGGCTCGACAAATCTTTTCGCAATGAAAAGATTGAAAAGTCCTCTCAAGTAGTCGAAAACATTGGTGAAGGTTCTGTATCTCTACGGTTTATGGTTTCGAAGGAGTAGCGATAACAGGCTATTCTTGCGAAAGGGGCAATAACTTCGTAAGAGGTCATGGGTCAAACTCGGGGGGTCGTTTTTCGAAATAACTTTTAATGTCCAGTATCATGAACTATAAAGTTTTTCGATAAGTCTTGCGGTTTCAAAAGTCCGGGAAGAAAAAGAAGAAGAATAATAATAATAATAATAAACATAAGCATTTCAAGAGGTCTTTCCACAGAAAGGTGGAAAGACCTAATAAACAGAACAATTTCAATAGGTCTTTCCACAGAAAGGTGGAAAGACCTAAATACGAAACGAAACATTGGTATTTGAATTGCCCATAAATTAAAAATGAAAGTAGATCAAAATAAACAAGATGGATGCCAAGGGATCTAGAAGATTGAGTTTGAAGAGTATTAAGCTTTATTTAAGTGAATTTATTCATAATAAAAAGTTGAAACAGTAAGTAAATATTGTGAAATGATGTGTTAGTTAACTTGTATTTCAAATTAACCTAAAAAATGGAAATTATATGTAACGTAACATGTATACACCCAATAATTTACACAAACATCGTATCATGTCAAACGTCCGACATGAATTTCAGCCAACTATGGTTATTATAAAAGTTGCTTATTATAAAGTTTTGGCCTGACAAATAAACTATGATAATAAACGAATTGTACTGTACTTAAAATCTACTGATGTCACTGGTATCAATTCATTTATTAGACAATCATTTCAAAGCTAAATATTAATACAGCATACTAAATACATATATCTTAAACTTGATTTTCTTAGGTCATGCAGAACATCAACCAACCAAACCCACCCTCAGCCCTACCAACCCCAACCCTGGGAAAAAAGGCAAAGCAGTCAATGTGACAGCAAATCAGGTTTCCTTCGATATGAACAGTTCTAGTACAGTGTGGTATTTCTTACAAAAATTATACAAACTTATTATTCTGAAAACTGCAGGAGTTGACACCCAGCAATATTGACGTACCCTATATGAACATATTTTGCATAAAATTGATTTATAGGTTCAACAACTGGTTTTTTTTTCTGCATTAATGATCAAAAATGAAACATGCACATCTCTGAAACATGCACAATTGATCTGCAAAATAAAAACTTCGTATCTTGAAAGCTGTAGTAGGAGTTATCTGAAAAAATGGTGTGCCCTATCAGCAATATGTATTTACATAATATTAACCAAGTTTAACGACTGGTATTTTTCAAATTATCAAAATTCAAGTACCATGCACATCTCTGATACATGTACAATTGATCTCCAAAACAAAAACATCCTACATGTATCTTGAAAACTGTAGGAGGAGACAAATGATGCACCCTTCTGACAGCTGACTTCTGGCCTGTCATTTGCACCATTTAAATAACTGGATTTTTCAATTGTGATTTAGTCAAACCAAACAAGGGACCGATGGGATACAAAGACAACATGCAAGAATCTTTTCTGGCCCAGTGTCTTTTAAATCAACCAAACCATTTTCACAATTTAATTATCTCTCCTTGAAAAAGGGTTTAGCTTTTCATTTAAAAAAGCTGGAATCTACTTCAACCAAGTGTGCTTTGTAGGAAGTTGGTTAAATTGGCCTGGAGAAGTTGAAAATGTGAACAATTTAAACACACAAGGTAGATGACAGATAGATAAGGGAAACTTTTATTAACAGAGCAGCTGTATGCAGCCTTTGGTTCACATGAGTTAAAAAAAACACAACCTACCCTTGCTTGTTTTTCTGAGCATATCACAACAAACTGTTTGTCACCATTGATTTCTGTTGATGAAGTTGGAGAGATTTTTGGTTTTTGAGACACCGTGTTTTGCCCTGGAATGGAAAAATATGAATATTAACACAGTATACAAAACCCTTGTTTTATTCTTTCTATAAATGAAAACATTCAGAGTCACCCCATAAAACCTCATAAAGAGCTTTCTTTGAACCAAATATTATCCACATCTGTTGATAAAGTCAACCAACTTTCTTTCAACTGACTGCATGTGTAAACAAGTAAACATAAAATGCTTGAAAACTTGTTGTCTCAATAAAATAACTACATAAAGCATGTAAAATGTGTATTCTATTACACTATCATTCAATGTACTTGTGCACATAGCTGCAAACAAAAGTTGTCTTTTTGGCACTCTCTTCCTTCAGAGGATAGAAACAAGCGAGTTCAATGTCCTACACATTCTATACTGAATGAACAAAAACAGGTGAGATAAAACTTACTGAAAGCTTTCTTCTCTTTCTCCTTGTCTGGGTTGTCCCGCCACTGGTCAGACATACTAGGTATTAGCACCCCATAACAATCAAGGAAAGACATAGTGAGTATTGCTCCTTTTAATCTAAACATTGTACCTAAAATAAAATCAGATGACACATTGATTTTTTAACATGATACTCAAGATGCTGGTTTATCTTTCTAGAATTAAAGCAAATCCATTTTGGATTCAGAATAACACTCAATGCAGTTTGTATCTAAGATGTCCATAAAAAAAGAAAAAGCATCAAAATGTTCAAAGCATACGAAATCACTTTGCAAGGATTGAATACAATGGTAGTAAAGATTTTTGCTTCACAAAATAATTTTGAAATCTGCACCAAATATGAGGTATATATCTGCAATGTGACTCTAGATGAAACAGTGCAATTGCCTGGTACAATTTCATTAAATTAAAAATGCTGTAATTACAGATTGGGTAAACATTCATTTGCTATTTCACTCAATCACATTGCCAACAGAAACACTTCTGTCTCTCCAAGACCATGAAAAGACGTAACACAGTACATACCACTGGGAGACACAATGACAGGCTGGTCCAACCGCTGCTGTCCTGGGGGAGGTAGATTCAGTACTATCACAATCACAGACCCTAAACTGGTTCCCACCCAAAGACAGGGACACGTGAAGCTATCTGTGACAAAAAAAAAAATAATCAGACATTAGATGCCATTGACGTATGGAATGATTTGTATATATAAAAGTATTATTGATATGGATCAAACTTTGATCTCAACTTCAGTATCTCATTCCAATCTAATGTATACATTTTCCTCTTTGCTGTCAAGGACTTGTTTGGTTAATGATTTATCAACACTACTGTCCTTCTTAAACAATTTTTTTTATTGGAAAGGGGAGGGGGGATAACATATAAAATGAACACCTTTAATAAGCACTATACCTGTTTTTCCTGTATAGGAATCTGAGAACACTAATGATTGGATGGCTTCCTTAGACACGTTGTCGAGGCTGGACATACTAGAACTACGTGATCGCGAGAAGGACGCCGTGTCATTCTTATCTGAAAGTTAATATCAATCGATGCTGAACAGTACAGGCATAATAATGTTATCAAATAAATGAAATCTTGTAAAATACTATCAGAATTCCTTGACATTTCATATCAATAATAACATGTTGCACTTTAAACGAATTTTACATTAACAATAACTTTTGATAAATCATTAAATAAGCATTAATAGCATAAGTGTACATGTAACGATATTCACACAAAAATGAATTGAAAATATGAATTTGAGAAAGGCAATCATCTTTAAAACTCAATGCAAATTAAACATCTTGCAAAATCACATTATAAAAGTATTCAATCATATGGAAAACTGCAGCAAACCTTCAGAAAATAAATCATGAAATCAAATGAATTGTAAAAATGTAGAGATTAATAGAAATGTTAATATTCTGACAACAAGGTTAAGGGGAAATATGTTATCTATCGTTGTGTTAACTTTCATTTAATAATGCTTCCTTTTTTTATATTGATTTACAAGTGTACTATGGTAACTTGCCAGTACTATAACAGTTCATATTTCCTAGAAATTTAATTGTATGTATTACAGAACCGTTATCATGGTTGTATTAAACAAATGTTTGAAACTTGATAAAAATTGATTTTACAAAAAATAGAAGAAAAGAAAAGAGAAAATACTTCATGCAAAAAATTTTTAAAATTGAAATGTTTTAAGGGAAATATTGATAGACAATAAAGGGTTTATTGCAATGAACATCATTAGAAGTGCACTGAACACTTGATAAAACTGTAAGAACACTTGTTCAGGTTCACTTACCACAGTTCTCGGGTTTAAGGAAAACTAATGTAAACATATGTTCATATATTAATTTGTTATAAGTGTTATTTAACGTATGTTCAGGATCATAAACTTTGATGCATTAAAAAAGTCAACTTTAAGATTTTCTTTGAAGATAAGAAAAGTTAAATAGGTGAATGGCATAGTAAAAAAATAAATTTCTGTACATTTACCAATTGAGATTATGATTAAGTTGAATGAGTTTTATTTGGTTAAAAAAATGTGCAATCAAATTTAAAATCAGTCAAGTACATGTTGTAATAGATGAATTTTCACTGTGAAAACTCAAGTAAGTTTTGAAACTCATCACCTTAATTAGCTTAGTGCTTTCATAAGAATTCAATATATGTGCATGCCAGATGATCTGTGTGCTCAAAAACTGCAGAAAAATTTAAAACTTTCTTCTTTTTAGGAAAATATCAGAATATTTAACAAGATGCATATGAGAATATGAGATGCAAATTTGTGTCTGCACTTAATAAATATCAATGATTGTTATATTGACACTTGTTTCTGTATAACATTTTTTTTATTACAGAAACAAGTGCCTGTGGATTGTTATAAAGTCTTTTTAACAAATTAATTTTACTTGTAACATATAAAATGCACATAATCCATGATTTCTTGTACATGCATATTATCAAACACCTAATGCCTCCAAAATACCAGTGCCTCCAAAATACCATGGCAGTGAGTACTTAAATAACAATTACTCCAAATGCTTTTGTATGCAAATGGTTTCATCTAAATAATTGAAATTAAAATTATTTTGCATAATTTATTTATGCTGAATATTCACACATGTGTAACAAATACACATTATGATTTTTTTTCTCTACCTACAAAACTAAAACTAACAGATCTGACACAACAAACCCTTCACTCTGTTACTAAAACCCTTAACATATGGTTAGAAGCATTTTATCTTACTTTCCTGTGATACTCTTGCATTTAAATAATTAAAAACCTTTTAAATTCTCACTTTTTGCTGCAATTCAAAATATAAACTTTCCTTTTCAATGATAACAAAACATATTCACCCAATTTCGATGAATGAAAATGATCCTCCCAATTTTGATGAATGAGAATTTGACACATATCACGGCAATGATACCTCCATCATTAAAACTCATTTATCAATACAAATTTATCAATACAAACATTTCGATTTCTCAGTCAATAACTAATAGTTTATTGATATGGTCCTTCACAGAGGTATATTTGCCATCCATACAAAATCTACCCCTTAGTCTTAGTATCACAGAAAAGTAACGAAAGGCCAACATAAACACGGATCACACCTCCACCACTGAACGAGCCTCCTCCACTAAATGAGCCACTTCCATTGTTGGCCTCCTCAATGGAGGCCACACTTTGCACTTTTTGTAGACGACGGTTGGGTTTACTGCGTCTCAGCTCGGGAGGGGGTGGTCTCTTAGGCTTCGAACAAGTGGGGCTTATACAAACACCATTAATCTAGAAATCAAATTGTCACTGGGCATTAGTCTACCTGTTAGTAAAAAAATAACTCCAGTTTTGTTCTAAATGCAACAGAAGAAACATTCAAAGCATTGGACCTAATTTCCATCATGTTCTGTGTTTGAATTTATAGAAACATGCAAAAATAAAAACTCATTCATTTTTCAAAGAATGGAAATCAGTAGATAATTTGGAAATGCATCAATTGATCTTTTGCATGAATGTAAGAAACATTCATTAGAATTTAAGGTCCAATGCTTGGTAACAATGCAACAACAACAACATTCATTCTCCTCAGCTACTGTCTAGGTGCAAAAACCTGGTCTGAAACAGAACTCAAACTAAAGCAAATAAGGCAAAATGTTAGGTGCTGCAAGCATGTAGTGCTATTGACAATGATTAGAAAAACATGCATGTGTTAATTACTTCTAAAGGGAGAGAAATCTGGTCGATTATCAAGAAAAAAAATTCAAAAGACTGAAAAGTTTTCACATCAGACCAGATTTCTTTCTCTAAGCACCACAAGAAAAAGGTTTGCAAAGGACTTATCGGCAGATCTGGTGATTGTTAAACATGCTTGATAAGAAGGCAGCCTCACCCTGCAAGGCAAGAAAGAAAAAAACACATGGTAAATTTGGCTGAATACTTCAATCTTGGTGTACTTAATAAGCTACTGGGGTGACATACCAGGTAATATTGCATTCTGAAGTTCATCCACGGACACTCTTTCGTGGCAGACCTTCCCGTTGTCGTTTGTTAAATCAATGATATCGACTTTGAATTTCTTCTCTTCTTTTTCATTTCCCATGACAATATTTTTCATTTTGACGCTCATTCTTCTGAGAAAGCTTTTCGGTGGTGGATGTTCATCTATGTCACTATCAGAATGTTCGTCACTGTGAAAGTCATGAACATGCGGGTGGGCGGACTTGCTTTCATCATCAGATTTCCCTGATGGCTCGCAACCATTACTTGATTCACTTGAATGTTTTTCTTTGTGTTTGTTTTTGTGTTTATTTTTCTTGAATGTCAGAGCAGTCAGAGAAACTCTTCTTGTTTTGTGTCGAGTATTTTGTTCAGCATGTTTCAGTTCTGACACATCAGCGTCTGGGTCAGATGAGGACCTAGGTCTACTTTTAGTGCCATCATCATTTTCAGCAAGTAGGCTGTTATGGTGTGAGGGGTCTGACACAGTTTTGGAAGCCATTTTCTTTTTTGAAATTGCCCCCTCAGAAGAAGCTTTGGAGATACCCTCTTGCTTTGGAGAGGGGGGACTTGGTACTGAGGCAGCACGTTCTAAATGTCCCTGACCCGGGAACTTGCTAAAGTTCTGTAACTGATTCCTCATACCTTTCTCAAAATAATTTTCATCTAAATTATTAACAATATTGTCCAACTCTTCTGCAGGGACCCCTACCTCAACAACGTCACTGTCATTGTTATTTTTCTCTTGCACAATCAAAGAATCATCAATTTCCTGAGAAAGTCTCTCGTGAATTGCTTGCATGGGAACAAGTTTTTCGTGCGAGTGCTTTTTCCGGGGTTTAACGATTAAATTGGGACTTGATGGAGGACTAGACTGAAAACAGGAAGCAAAACAGAAAAACGTAACATAAAGAACAAAACGTAAAACACATAAAGGCAACCAAAATCTTATTTTCCTCTTTGAAGGGTAGGGGTCATGACTTTAGTTCCCCCAACATAATGAAGTTGTAAAAATATACAAACAAATAGGGGAAAAAATTAACTTAATCACAAAATTAAAAAAACTAACATTTGGAAGTTTTTCTTTAAAATAAAAATGTGCACTACATACAAAATTAAGAAATTCTAGGGAAACATAACTCGATTTATGGAAAATATACTACACAAACAATTGTACACAAAAAGAAAGTTTAATAAAAACAACATTAAATAAAGGAAAAATTTTATAAAATAATCTCTTTTTTTTCATAATCTATTTATCAAAAATAACGTTATAAAAATCATTTGTCCTCTTAAAAAAAGGGGAAAAGAGAAAAAAAAATTCAGGGTTATGTGACAATTGTTGTGTGAATTTAGCAGTCAGACAGATATACATTAGACGAGACAACATGTTATACAGTGTTCATATTTTCTCATGTAGATCAATTAAAAGACACAGGTACATGTACATAAGCAAGATGAACATCCATAAAACATGTAATAATGGGATTAATGAAAATCATGACAATTTTTGCAATCTGCATTTCATTTTTACAAAAAATCAAGACAATTCTTTTAAATCTGTATTGCGAGAAACTATTCATCCTAAATCTTTTCATTCAAAGCATTCCATTACTAATTCATGGCTTTTAAGTTAATGAATAAATGCAGTTACCAGACCTGTTTACCCACATTGTTGTCTCTCAGTATTTTTTATTAGATTTGTCAGTGGGATTTGGCATTTGCCCGTAAGATTTCACTTTCCATCGATTTTACATATATTACTAGAGAACAAGTACATGTGCATTCTGATTACCTAAACATGGTTTAATAACAAAAAAACATCATAACTTGCTTTCTTTCGAGAGGTTTCTGTCATTTTTTAAAAACCACCGCGTTTTGGCAACCTGACATCACCTAAGTGTTTGAAATCTATCTCATTTTTTAGCGATTAAAAAGTGTCAAACTGAGACATATAATAACGAAAATTATCAGCTAAAATCCAAACGAATGGATTTCCAATTTCCGTATTTTTATAATAGCAAAACGTGAGTCGTATTTTGGACTCAAAATCCGTACAAAATACGGCGAAATCGTAAGCGTAAACAGGTCTGCAGTTACTTACTACAGATCAATATGTTATCAGTCATAAGTTGTTATATCTATTAATCAAACACCAGGTATCTGGCTCAGGCATAAAACCCACCTGATCATTAGTGGGGGATCGTGCCCCATCCTCGGTGCCCGATCCATCTGTGGGAAACCTCTTGTTCCTAGGTGATCTTGGACCCCGATTGTAAGGATCCATGGAACCTACAAGGAAAGTTGTGGATTATGATTAACACTGCATATACAAGCATTCATGAACGCTAAAATGACTGAAGTGCAAGAACTTCTCTTAGCATTATTTTTTTTATTGGCAAAAATAAACTTTTTTCCCCACATCAATCTTAATTCCTCAAAAAATTTATAACTCCTCAACAATGCAAACAATCTGGAATACATTTACCTTATCTAACCATGTTACCCAAGTTTATAAGACATTTTCTGAACATTATATGATACATCACTGACATATATAATATCACAAATTCATCAAGACACAAACTAAACAAGTTCTTTTGAAAAAAAAAAAAGTCTTGCAACATTTTTGATACTAAACAGTGAATATATATATAAAAAAAATGTGACTCATGAAAATCAAATTGTGAAATATGTAGTAAAACTATGGAATTGAAATAAACTCTGCACATAACTTTTTAACATTGAAAAAAAAAATAATCAAATTGTGATCTACATACCTTCAGTGTTACTATTAAAAACTAATTAAAAGTATTGAAATTAATTTTTTAAGTCCATTTATATGATAATCAAACAGGACTGCATTAGCTATATTTATCTCTGTTTCTTACCGTACAAATCAGGAGTGCCCAGGTTTAACAGACAAGTTTTCTGTATATAATCTACTATTGCTAACCCAGACTCATTTCCAAATGCCAGTCTGTAAATAAAGAAGTTTGACGTATATAAGAATTATAAGCATCCTTCTATCTTTTATAAAAAGTTGTGCATGAAGATATATTAAAATAAACTTCAGAATAAAATCAAACATAACTCATACTTTAAATTTCTATGTTCTAAAAAATTTCATAAACAATGTGAATGTAATCTAACTAGTTTTCAACTCATGCAAATAGGTATAATGGAATGAAAACAAGTAATATGGCATGTTGATCAATAATTAAATGGTCTCCCACCCTTAGGCTAAGTGAGTCTCAAACTTGAAAGCACCAAGTATCATTCATAATGTGGATTAAGCAAAAGCGTTCAATGTTCTTGAGGGTAAAATCATTGTTTTTTTTATAGCCAAGGAGATACTTAACAAGCAGAAAGCAAGGCTTATAAGCTCTATGATTTCAAAAAGATAAAAGTATTCAAAGGCCATATATGTTGTTCAAACATTACTCACAGCCTACAACATGTACAAGCTTAAGATCACAGACATCTTGCCTAATAGCTAGGCTAGTTGCTAGGTCTACTGAATGCATTGTATTATCCCTACAGAGCAGCTAGGCTAGCAAATCATTCAACATTGTAGCTCCATGTTGAGGTACTTTGTACTTAAATGCTGCAATCTTGAACATAGCTCAAGTACTTACAGGCCACATTATGAGTTCATAATAAGAGCACTTGAGCACTACTAACAGACCATTTAAAGTTCAAAATGGGAAGAGTTAGTACTTAGCGGTCATATTATGATAACAAAGAGAACTTCATACTTACAATCCATATGATGAGTTCATGGAGATAAAGGTGATATTGCCGGGGTGCTCCTTGCCCTCCCCCGGCTCTTTGCTGTCTAACCACTGTAATACACACACCAGGTCTGGGTAGTAACCTGCTGAGTATTTTCTGCTACCAGACCGCACCTTTACTGCTGTCCAAGGATCACTCTACAATACACAATTGAGAAAATATGAAATTTTTCTTTTTCAGGTTTTATGCAGACCCCATACAGTTTGAGTCATTGCCCGTGGATAGAAAAAGTTGGGGGATATAGTAATGCACTTGAGTGTGAGTAAGTGAGTGGATTAGTGAATTCGTGTACAACATATTAAGTAAAAATTTACATCAGGATGGATGTCATTTTCTAGCTTGTGAGGGGATGCTTGTTATCCCCTCGCATTGAAGTTGGGGATGGGATAAAGTAACGCACTTTGTGTGTTTGTGGGTGGGCTAGTTGTCCTATGTGCAAAATGGAAGTGACGTAATTTGCACCAGGATCAAATGTTGCCTTGATTTAGATAAATATTTATTCATCTATTGTCTGATCTTCTCATATTCCAATCACATAAACAAAATTGAACAAGGGGATAATAAAATATTACAGTATTTGCTTTTCCAAGTGTAAATGTGTGCAATCAGGTTCGAAATTTTTGTTTATATATCATATTTAGCTACGTAGCTTGAATTACCTATGTACAGTGAAGTCGCCAATGATTTACATATCTACAATTATTTTGGTATTTTTTACGCTCCGCTTTGCTGTGCCCTTGTTGATTCTTCGTCAAACTAGTTATGATAGTTACAAGCCTATAGATAGTTTTCATATGACGTATTTTCTCTCCAAGTTATTTCCCTTGGCCGCCATCTTGGTGGGTAATTTTTCCTTTGTCTTTCCAAATTAATAGGGTATAGCAGAAATATTTGGTGAAAAATCTTTAGAGAATAAAAACTATGAAATAAAGGAGGCGTTAACAAATGTACATTTTTCAGAAAAACAATGCTTCCTACCCCATAATGGCCAGTATAAAAAGTTAAAGTTGGTTGAATAATGAAGGAATATGGGCATGTTGACCCCCAATATGGCAGCCAATGGGAAATAACTCTTGCTAATTTAGGCCTACTGAAAACTATCTATTATCATTAATTTAATTTAAAACACTCTGAAAAAGTTTGGAAGAAGTCCATTCTCTGTTCCCGATATCTATTATGCCCTCATCACCAAGACAACAGTATTTTTGTACACACAATGTTTTTGGGAAAAAAATTCCACAAGAATCAACTGTGTTTTATCCGGACTAAATGTCTATGGTAGCAGTCAATATAAGTAAGTTCATCAAAACTAAAACCTACTTATAAAAAGGAAACATAAGGCAGTCAAGGAAAACACATCTTTGGTTGGAAATCAGCAATCTTGTGAACTTGTCTTCAAAAATTGGACTTTGGAGAATATATACTTGCATGTCTCTCCAGTAAAAGTACACATTAACCTCATCACTGTCAGATATATTGATTTCTTATCGATAAAACATTTCAATTCAACAGAGACCACAAATAGACCTTAGTTTGTTTCTAAAACAATAGTAGGCGACTATTTAGTACATTAGAACATGAAAAATGGAATACCTTCATTATGTAATGTTATCAAAAATTTCCATCTTCTTTTTTTTTTTTATAATCAATTTACAAAAAATACTTTACTTGCAAAACATTTTTAATTATTAATGTCTATCATAGAAGTTAGTGAGAAAATGAAGACTGTATATTTGTTTTCCTCACACTGACAAATGTGAGAGAAAATATCTTTAGACCATCTGATCATCATGATCATGCAGTGATAATATAAATCATTTACAGATAATGTACTTTGTTTGAAATTTGAACCTCTGCACAATCAATGAAAGTTTAAACAAAGTATGATTAAGAATTTTTTCTGTATGGCTTTTGCTCCAGAAATGTTCACAGAAAAGCTCACCTTCTACATGTACATGTGGGTTCAGCAAACCTAACGCAGGATTGCTTCTAAATATACATCATCCTTAGCAGTTGGCAACATAAAACCTCAAATCAAGGCCGTTGTTTAACCTTGTAGGGATGATACCCCACAACATAGAAGACTTTTAACTCTCCAAGTAATATACAAAGTATTTATAATCTTAACAACAAATCTAACATTACCTTCAGTTTAATGGCATACAGTAGAATTAAAATAAATACATAATGTAATTGCTCAACTTGTACACACTGTTGACACAGTGTATTTGAATATTAAATTATGATTTTTTGTAAAGAAGTTTTCCAGCACTATCATTTTTGGGTCTAACCAGTTACACAACCAAGTGAACATCAGGTTAAGTATGTAAAAATATTTATATGACTGTACATTCCGTATACATACATCAAACGAAAAAACATGTTTTCAGGTACAATGGAGGTGTTACCTTGGAACTGTGGTCAGATGCATTGCTTGAGTATGACTCCCTGCTTCCACTTTGAATCTGTGCTACAACCCCTAAACATGGCCGGTAATGGTTATCTATGTCTGGGGACTCCATTTCGTCCAAAATATCATGATAAATAATGGAAAACTCTAAACTCTGGAAAACAAAGTCACAAATATATCAACACTGTAAAGATGAGAAAAATAAGAAAACACCAGGAAAACTAAATCATAAATCTCTATTAAGTTTAAATCATCTAATCGGTAACTCATCTAATCAACTGTACATCTCAGACTAGACTGTAGCTCAAATGAAACAGACTTGATACAGGAGTAGCATTAGGAATGAATTTCATAGGTTATCATATTTTCAGTAGCCATGGCAACACTGTTCTTTGAAATTGATAATCACTGTATTGAATCATATGTTCTTCGTGATTTTACTTGCATACAACTTCATTCAAATTGGACCAAACCTGTACATGTATGAGTGACATGGTTAAATTTTGAGAAAATTGGAAGTTAATTACCATAGCTAAAATATTTACCATAATCATAAATGGATAAAAAGAATTATCTGTCTTGATATAGTTTAACAGTGTACCAAGATTTATTGAAATCAGTCCAAAATGACTGGAAAATTACTACTTTAAAATATTTTTGATAACTCTGATTCTTAGTAACCCTGGCAACATATGTGAATGAAACTGAGAGCTGAAATACAGAATTCTGCAGTATGATGATGATGTGGTTTATCTGTGAATCAGTTTTTTTTAATTTTTGAAAAACAAACAAACTTCTAGTATAACTAATATAATAAGATCTATAATGAAATTGGTCTAAATTCTGAAATCTTGTCTTATACGATGTAAATTTTAAATCCCTTTCAGTAAATTCAACTGTTTTAAAATGTTTAATCCAGAATGTTGCCTAATCCGGCCAATTTTTATGGAGCCAGTGGTCTCCAGATTAGAAAAGTTTTACTGTATATTTTAAATTAAATTTTAAAGTAATTATATATCTACAAAGTTTTGACTGGCTTATAACATATATTTTTCTACTTAGTTAGCATTATCTTTTTACTGTCAAATGTACCTTTTTCAATGCACCTTTTTTTTCGGTCTTACAAATATGTATTCTTATTTGTGAGAAATACTCAAGATTTCCTTCTTCGAATGAATTTCCAATTTATTTCATCAAAGTTTATCACGGTTACCGGTAATCTTCAGAAAGACTTCAGGTTTCTGAGTGAATTGAACTATTCTCTTTCAATTCATCAACTCAAAACAAATATAACCTATTCACTTACATTTCTAACCGTCCTGGATTTTATATATTAAATTTTTAAAAAAAAAAAAAAATTCATCGTTTACACCAAATATTGAAAAAAAATTAATACAAGATCAATGTCAAAATCTCAGATACTGTACTTTACCTGTACTTCCACATTTAATTCCTGTTTGGAAAATCTACATAGCACTAAATGAGTAGCTCCGGCGAAGCACAAAATCCTAGACTCGGTACACAAATGTATTAGATACACTGCAAAGGGGTCAGGGTCAGATTCAGAACCGTCTTTCTGGTTTTCACCGACAGTGTCACGGTTTTCACTACGAGATTCTTCTCTCTTTTTTGGTTTCTCGAATATTTTGGCAGTTTTGAGTTTATATAACACTTGTAATGTCACTGAAAAAACAAGAAACGAAAATTGAACTACTGTTTTGCAATAAGTACAGAATACACAAAATCCGAGACAAAAAATATCCCAAATCAGAAGTAAGTGCAATGTATTACATGATCAAAATTGTTTCAATGATAAAAATTTAGTGTTTGCAGAATTCTATATGAATAAAGTTAAATCACTTTGGCAATGAGTAATTGATTCCTGATGGTAAATATATTTCATATGGATTTATGAAGTTTGTACTGCATACACCTCTCAGGTATTTCTCTCACACATGGAAAAAAAATTGTTTGAAGAAATTTTGCAGAAATAGAAAATCGATCCTTACCCGAGGAAGCATCCCAAAATTTTAAAGAACCATCAGCATGCCTACAATCATAAATATCTTGGATTAACTTACAAAAAGGAAAAATTGACCAATTATGCTATTTATATATAATACGAACCAAAAAAGGAGCTGAAGTACCAAAAGCAGTTTAGAGTTAATCTTACCCAGTGATAAAAATCTCAGGATAACTACATGTGGATGTACCCCACTCTCCACCATTTATTGGCCAGGACTGTAATGAAAAAAAAATTCCCAAATGCTCTGAAATGTTGTAACATAATTAATGTCTCAGAGTTCATACACAAGAACAAAAGAAACTTAGAAAATTTAACCATTCACAGTAATTTTTCAAGTGAGGAAAATGCAAGTACTCTTGATGTCAAGTAAGAATACCAACTTTAAATAAATTTGTCTACACTGATACTCAACATTAAATAAATTTGTCTTCACTGATAGATATTTAATCAATAATTAATATCACTCCTTTCACTCTTTTTCACCTTATTTATGTACAGTAAAACTTTGTTATATCCGTAATACATTATATCCATATAAGGAATTCGTAAAATTTATATAGCTGGGAAACCAAGAAAACTTCGCTATATCCGTGAATTTGCTATATCCGTGTTCGTACTAAATGAGTTTCACTGTAGTTTTTACATCATGTATATGTACATGAATGCAAGCTACACCTACAGCATTAAGCATAATTTCTGTTGTTGCAAAGCCTGGTGGGTTGTTTTTAATGCATGATAGGGTAAGACACCACTTTAAATTCTGGAAATTAAATGACTTAGAAATGTTAGAGTTGATCAAAATTCCACTCTTGACTACTGGACCTTACCTTTTCACTGAATCCTGAGCGTTTCTGGCGAGATGACCCCACAGAGTAGAAAGCAGGAATGAGATCAGGCGGGCAGTTTGCATAATACTGACATGCTGTGACCGGCGATTCGTGAATGTCCATGGGGTAGGGGTTTTCAAAACAGGGGTAGTTAGGGGAGGTCAGGTCCACTACCACAAGGTCATACTGCAGGAGGACCACAATGGCATATGGTTCCTGAAAGTCTATCAAAATAATCAAAGGGGGATCACTTTTAATACATTTAATATTGTAAAAAATTCCAAATACACTATAGTTCACAATACACAAAATTTCACAATCAGTTCTGCGAGCAGTTTTATCCATATACTTTGTCTTAACTCTATTTTTCTGCAATGTGTTTAAAAACTGTATCATACAAAACTCTCTGTACCACATTGCCAAAACTTTCATCCCTTACATCAATAACATGTAATATACATTTGATATAAATTTAATTTAGACTGTTTCCTCCCTACATTACCATTTTGCCAGGGTGTTTCACAAAGCACAACAAAGTCTACAATATTGTGCTCCATCTCCAGGGCTGTGGTGCTCTTGCCATTCATTACAGTAATACTAGGTGTCCTCCCTGCCCTGTCATAGGACATTCCCCCAGAAAAGATGATCAACGGCTCTCTGTATAAGCAAAACATCAACAATCAAATTAACATTAATATTCCTGCGGGCCTAAAAAGAAGAAAAGGACAGATGTCTACTACAGTGTATCCAATTTTAAAAATGTGACCTTTAAAAGTTGGATATCTATGAAATAGAAATGTACTAAATTTTACAAGACAATCTTCAGATCTTGAGCAGCTTTCATCCTAAAAATACAGTTGAACTTTGGTATCTCCAACACGAATATCTCGAAAACCATGGATATGTCGAAGTGATTTAGAAGTTCCAACCCCTTATTCTTTAAGTATTTTACCCTGGATATCTCAAATCCTCAGATATCTCGAAGTTTTTTCTCGGTCCCATTGAGTTTGAGATAATGAGGTTTGACTGTATATTATATGGACAAGTGAAATTTAGTTTTACCCATTTTTCACTGACTTCCACTCCACTTTGGTTATTGGTTTACATGGGTTGAGTTTGCCATCTTTGCCCATCTGAGCTAAAAAAACAAAGAATACAAAAAAGGTAGTAATAACAAATTGAAATTATGTTTTGCACAAAAAACAAAGTTAAAAGTTAAGTGAAATGCATGTCTCAGTTACAGGTTTTCAGTTACTTAGTAAAACTAAGAGGAACTTAAAGAGCTTAATTTTATTACATTGTATCCAAGAGGAAATCCCAATATCTTGTTAGTAAATATGGCATATTTTTACTGACTGTACTTTTGAAGGATTATATCATTCAGGAAACTGATATTCAGTTTGCATAAAGGTCTTGTTTCAAGTGTGACTTCTGATCCTTTTTCAGCTAAAAATCAGTACATTGTAAAGGCTGATGCACTCTTACAAACAAAACAAACTGAATCATATTCCTTACATAACCTCCTAGTGTTTACAGAACCTGTTAATGTCTTAGGTACAAATCAGTCAACACAAACAAATAGTTGTTAAAATTTCAAAAGCACTATTTGTTTTCACCACATCACCAATTATAACAACCTTCCTATGCCACAGTTCCTCAACTACGTTGTTGACATTAAGTTTACGGTCAACGTCATCTCTTCAATTTACTTGGCATGATAATGATGTTACATGCTGACTTCTGATAGAGGGAAGATGAGTTTGTTGCCCAGATACACTGAATAAGGAATTATTTCAATGATTGTTTTGTAATCTTCTCTGTTTATGATGACTAAATTCGGGAAGTCTTATCATATAAGACTTACTGTTTTGTTTCCTTTAAAAATAATACAAACTTTCTGTATGTGAAAAACAAAAGTCATATTCAGTCCTTTAAGGGAAGATTTATCAAGACATCTGAAAATGTGAATGATAAACTTTCCCTCTATCATTGTCTTTTACAAAGTGTGGTATATTTCTTCATTAACGACAAAGTATTAAATGAAACCATACGGTTACAAGCTTAAGGTAATGTTTAATATAAACCAAGATTGAATGTAAAAATCTTCCAAGAATGTGAATGACAAAATGAACTCTGTCTTCATAGAAATTCTGCTCAATTACTTCTTCAACGGAGCTTTTCCAGACAACAAACAAGGAACGATCATATTTCTGACCTTGACATTATTACTAGATAAATATTGTGTCTCACAATTAGAACTTATAATGACCACAGTTCAACAACCTTTACTGCAGCATCCACTAAAAGACAGAGTCTTGCCTGGGGAAAACAATTTTTTTTTTTCATTTTGAAATTTATTATCAATTGTGACTTGAAAATTAGAAACCTGATTTGTCTACAGTCCCTATTTCTACCTTTGTTGTTATTGTTACCTGTTGAATCTTTGTTGATTTGAACTACTTTCTGTGAACCCGGAACTTTAATTTGAGACAAACTATTTTAATGGATAGACAGTCCCAGTATATTACAAGGGAATTGTCTGCTTTTAACATCTGCTGCTTGACTAGAAGTTTCCGTCTGTACAAGTCTCCTGAGAAGACAAAGTTCCTTAGCTCAAAAGAAGTTCTCTTAAACTTTAATTCATAGACAGACCTCAATAAATCTCATTTGATTAGCCATGTACTTTTGCAATCAAATCGGTATTTTCTTCATTAGGAATTGCAGTAATGATCACATTAAAGGGCAATTCAATTTTAGAGCTTAAGAGTGCTGCTTAGATCAGAAAAATGGATATGAAGAAGATTTTAACTATGTTCTATCACCATCAATATGGTACTTCTTGCCCTAAATATCATGTGGCATTGTAAATATGGCAACATTTATCATATTGCAGCAATTCTTCAATTATGTAGCAGCATCATCAACAAGCCAACGATTACCATATTGCATCATCAATATAAAACAAACCATGTGAAGTGATAAGGCAGCTTTTCCATGTGGTATGGAAAGGCAGTAAAACAAACCAATATATTCAATTATCAATGTGGCAACATTTACCATAAGGCATTATCAAATAGAAAACATCTTCCAGTATGCCAACACAGTGGAGTTTAAATGACAAAATAAACCCTTTGTCATCAATAACTAGGATAATTATAAAAACGGAAACATCTGCCATACTGCTGTGATTAATATGGCAACATAATGAAATTTATGAAAAAATTGATCATTTGCCATCAGTAGTATGGTAACACCTACCATGAGGCATCATAACACTGACGGGCTTCTGTGGATGTTTGACGTTGTACGTGGTGATACTCCCGTCTGTGTGGCTACACATGAACTGTTTCCCTTCATGGTGCCAGGACACAGAACGCAGGGCCTACGAAATGAAAGATATTTCAATTATTTCGTAAGAACATTATCATTATAATTACACATTAAACAGTAGCAATTACAAAAGGGGCAATGACAAATTACTTGTGTATTACAATGTAATAGGATCCATACATATTTTAATAATGTAGTCAAGGAATTTAACAATGGCAAAGAAAGAATGTAAAATGAAACAGGATGTCTATAGTTTGGCTTTATGTTACCACTAATGAGAGGAGAGTAAACAATTCATGAATATATAATGCTCCTCTTTATCAGGTAGTACATGGATGTGCAATATCATGTGATTCTATTGGGGGTGTTATACAACTAGTAATAAACTATAGATAATCCATGAATTACAAATACATTTGTATTAAGTTAACATTTATAAGCCCCCTCCCCCCAACCCTCTCTTCCATAAAGAAATTATACTTTTATAATTAGTTATTTGAACAAGAACTTCAGATTTACATGAACCAACATTTCATTTATTTTTTTCAGACACCCCCCCCCCCTTTTTAACATCAAATTTATTTACCTCTGGTAAGTTATATCTGCACTCTGCTGTTTTACTCTTCAAATCCCACAACACAATGGTCCCAGTCTCAAATCCTATTAATAACTGCAAAAGTAAAGGTGAAGGTTACATTACAGAACAATACGCCCATAGGCCACAATGCTCACCTGAATCACTATGACCTTGCTGTTCTTCATCAGCAAATATTTTTCATTATGTAAAACTTTGATCTCATACCATGACCCCACCCTATCCCCTGGGAATCATGATTTGAACAAAGCTGAATCTACACTATCTGAGGATGCTTCCATATTAATATGACTTATCATGGTTTTGCTGTTTTTAAGAAGAATTTTTTTTCATGATTTTCCTATATATTCCTGTCTAAAACTTTGATTGCCTATTGTGGCCCCACCCAATCCCTAGAAGTCATGGTCTGAAAAACTTGAATCTACACTATCTGAGAATGTTTCATATCAATATGACTAATTATGGCTTTGCTATTCTTGTAAAAAAAAATTCCTATATATAATCCCATGTAAATCTTTGTTCTCCTATTGTGACCCCACCCTACCCAGGGGATCTTGATTTGAACAAACTTGAATTTACACTACATATTAAAGTTTTCACATAAGTTTCATCTTTTCTGGCCCAGTAGATCTTGAGAAAAAGTTTTTTTAAATATGCCACTAAATTTTCAAGAATTATTTATCTCCCCTTAAAATAGGACATAGCTCTTCAGTTAAACAAACTTGAATCCCTTTCACCCAAGGATACTTTGTAGCAAATTTGGTTGACATTGCCCCAGTGTTTCTAGAGAAGTCGAAAATGTGAAAAGTTTAAAACAACAAGACAGATGGATTGTGGACAATTTTCAGTCAGAAAAGTCATTCGAGCTTCAGCTCAGGTGAGCTAAAAAGTAGAACCAATGTAGCTTTATTTCACATACTATGTTTCCTGCCTCACCCTAAAATATGTAAACTGTATTGATCACAAAGATTGCCCTAAATATGAGGAACTTCTTTGCATTGCCCAAGAGAGTTCAAATGGAACATATGCTGACAAGAATGAGATTTTATGAAGGAATCTCACATATTTATCATTATAACCATATCTCTAATTTCTACAAATGTCAAAACAAAAATACCATGCTTTAAGCACTCAACAGCTTACAAGGAAAGAAATTTTGACAGAAAACTGTCTTGGTATTTCTCCATTATCATTCTTTGCAAAGACATTTTTTTGCACTGGATTGTACCATTATCAGTTTCACAGCCAATTTTTCAGATCATCTTTCAAAATTCCATTAAAGATGTCTGTAACAGTTTCTTTTAAAAATTTGGGTCAATCATTATATTTCCTTTCTGAAATTCATTACCTCCGAAATTCTTGAAGGAGCATCTCAAATCAGAGGGCAATGCAAAAAGACATTCAAGAGAATACAAAACGCCATATTAGGTACGGTAACTGGACCATGCTGCCAAAGATCATCCTATTCTGCCATTAACCTATAACACCAGCATGATGTTCTTTTTTCTTCCATTAAGCCACACTAGTTATGTATATCTTTGGAGGTGGACCTTTGGGAAAATGCTGGAATACTCTTTTAACTGATTGAGTTTCTATAAATGGAATGTGGATCAATGGTTGACCTCAAATGGGAAAATCTAAATAGCCAAAATTTTAACACACTACTACATCAGAGATCCTCATGAAATAGTATGATAATGTTTAAAATGATCTCATTTAAAAAAAAACAAACAAGAACAACATATAGTAATGTATTCATTGTCCTACCAGAAGGGTTCATCAGGTTTCAAATATACAGTCTCAAATTTATTTATGCAATAAATTGAAATTTACTTGTACATGAAGACTGTTAACTACTCATCAAGGTATTTTTTTTTAAAGATATTGATACAGGTACAAATGCAAGAATACACATTTATTTTTTTTTCTTTATTTGTGCATCATTTTTCTTCTCTCAAAATGAGATACCATTCAAGAAGCAGTTAGAAACCCATTCCATGACACTCTCTGAAGAAATGAAGTGTAAAACACTCCGATCCCACTGATAACAAACTGTTCTGACAACTTATTGATCAAACAAACTAACTTGTTTAAAATGCCCTTGTTTGCCTCCTTAATGGCAAAGATGAACTTTGTTCACCCCGGAAGAAATAATCATTGATCCACCCTTCATGAAAACTCATTCCTGGTCTGATTTAGAGATCCTTCGCAAGTGAGCACTTTATTTTAAGAAATATTGATGCCCCAGGCCTACATGTACCTGGCAAATATCTAGATAAAATTCCCTGATGAACCTATCTACAATTTCTTACAATTTAACCTTTTTATTTGTCATTACTAAATTTACTTGTGAAGGTGATAATTCAAGCATGAACTTTGTGTAAATGAACTTCATTGATGTAATAATGACGATTTAATATTTGGTAGTTTTTTTTTTTTCAAAAAGATATACATACCCAGGGTATGTCTATCTATATAAATTTAATTGTAATTAAGTGCTCATTCAATTGAGATCAAATTTGAAAATCCACTTTAAAATAAGTTTTACCTCATTGCTTTGAAAAAGTTGACACTTGTCTTGTTGATTATAGTATATTTTTAAAATTTTGGGAATGTCCTCACCTTATTGGGATCTATAGGACAGTCAGTCAAACTGACCACTGGGCCAGGGTGCGTCTTCCTTGATCTGAAAGAAAAAAAGTTTGTCATATAATTCAGCACAACTCAGAATCATGGAAATAGAAGAGAACAGGCAATCATTATGCAAGATTTTTTCTTCTAATGATTTTCATGTGCCACTGATGATGTGGAGGGAACAGTCTATAATCAATTTAACCTTCATCCTTCCAGTATGTTTTCTATCTCATTACAAATCTTTTAAACCTACAGTGCACAAAAACCCAGCCCAGATTGAGATGTTTTTGTCGTATTAGGTCATAGATGGATTGAATCTGCCCGTTATACATGGTTATAAAGTAATCTGTTGTCTGGTTGCATCACTGCAGTTGAGGAGATCAATAAATATTAGTATGTCTTTCACAGGGCCTGCTCATTCCAGGACTCTCAATTAATCAAATTTGACATTTAGAAATTTCATTGATTTTCCTCAAAAGAAACTGACTGCAATTTCTTTTCAACTCTTTTTTGTCTCATTGTGTCACATTTGGAGGCTCTGGTTGAAGATGCTAAAGTCTTGATGCCTCTTAGCCACCTACGTAAATTACAGTGTGACTGGACAATTTCTCAATCAAGACCTTAGTTCTTCAGAAATAAAAAAAACAGTAAGCAAAGTAGCTAGAAGTCTAAAGATTATGTAATTCTAAATTTAAGGACATACACAAGATAGTTTTGAACTTTATTTTCTTATTCCCTGTATAATTTTGAGTTCCAATAATCGAAGGAACTTTGTGCAATTTCATGATGCCTGGTAATGCTGTACACCTCCTCTAGCTGCATGAATCAGATTTTGAGGAAATACCAGCAAAAACTATATTTTTGTTAATTTTTCTTGTAAGAACACAAAGATTTTCATCTTTTGTTATATATCTGTTTAAAACTCCTGGCAATGTGTATTGTTTTTTCGTCCAAAAACATCTGATGGTATCACGATTTTGAATTAAGAATATTTTGAAAAACTATCAGAATTACATCATTCAGGAGCGAGAGTGAAATCCATCTTTCTGAAAATGATGATTACTAGTCACAGATTAAATTTTTGTTATGACTAAAACAGTCATAAAAATTTAGAACTTTTTTAAAATATAGAGTTACCTCTCTTTGAAATTTTTTAGATCCACCAAGCAAAAAAGTGTCAATGAAAATTGTGAATAAACTTCATATCTCCAACTGATATATTTTTAAACTAAAATACTGTCCATCTTGACAGTGTTAAATTCACAAGCTAAAGGAAGAGTTATCTGCCAATTTATTTCATAAAATAGTAAAGACAAAAATTATGATATTTCGTTTGTTTTAACGAGCATGTTACTTAATTTTGTTTCAATATTTTGTAACTTTAGACATTTCTCTATTGCAAGACAGTGTATGCTATGTTATTATTATGGTTAAAACCATGAAAAGTTGTAAATCAGTTTTACTACAAAATCAATTGAATATTTTAACAACAAAATAACAACATTCACCTTCCACATTATTGTACTAGCGCACAAGGTCATCAGTTATTACTGACCCGGATGAAATGAAACTCTCATAAACACTCCTCTTTTAGTGGTAAATTCAAAACCTTGCCAAGTTGGCGATAATCCACCAATTTTTTTTCAAAATGATGGACTTCACTCTTGTCCCTGTCTGTACATGAGAAGCAGAGTCCCAACCCATGTTAAGTTTGTGATGCCCCCTAATAGGGTGAGTTAACCATGCATCGGACACATACCTTGCTTCGGACAACTTTAAGCAATAAACTTTCATTGAACCTCAGTCTCCCCGTGTTTTACTTGTTTCTGTCTTAAAGGTGAAGATTTAAACTTTTTAATGATGCCCGATTTTTATTTCCATGTTGTAATAAAAATACAAGAATGGCCTTGAAATTACATCATATTTTGCATCATCATAGGGGAGTAACCAGAATTTTACGATTTTGCAATTTTTAGAGTTGTCGCTCTTTTAAATAGACTTCACCGGAACGAGTCGGACCTAGGTAAAATTTGTCAATGATTGATAATTTTAAAGAAATTTTTCAAAAATTTTACTTTAATGTTTGTACAATAATTTTTAGAGTAGTTTTTACTAGTATGTTTATTTCACCGTAAATCGGACACAAATTAACCATGTATCGGACACTTTCCGATGCATGGGTAATCACTTCTATTTTCTTATGAGACCCAAATGGCAGCCGTTTTTAACGGAAATAGAAAATAAAAACTCTAAATCTGAAGTGAAAATACAAGATATGACGACTAGAAGTGGACCCAATTTATTTCTTTAAACTAGATGATACTAACCCACAAGACAAAGGCGCGAATTGCCATATTACTTGCATTGTAAAGCCTTTCTAAGGCAATGTGGTGCACCTAAAATCTCTTAACATTTGTGGATCGAAATAGTCATTCAAATTTAACTAGATTTAGTTTAATTTTTTAATAAAAGATAAAAATGTTTCGATATCACTAATTTTAAAGCACCGAGATCAAGGTGTGATATTTTTCTGGTTTAAGGAGGAGAAGGGCCTTGAGCTGAAAAAATACTTGTCATTCAATTTTTTTCATATTTCGTGTATTTCTAATTAAGTATGTCCCACATATCTTAAAGCAGTTATATCATTAGGTTTCTAACCTTATTTTGGAGATATTGATTGACAAATACTATGCCCTACAGTATCTAAGTGGAGTTTTAATTCTCCATGTTTCCGGGCTCATTACTCTGTCAATAATGGGATTTTTTAAGCATATATAAAAAATATCAAAGTGGACATGTATCTTGTAAAATATTTCAGAGTATAACTAGGATTTAAAATTCGAAAAAGGAAGTTTTGTCTATCACACTGCATCTGGATAGGGAAAATTACACACTTTTTAAGACAACTTAAACAATAAAAAACGTAATTTACAAAAAATTCTATCATTCAATATTTTTTAATTTACGTTGAAATGCAAATCCTTCAAATTATTGATTAACTGTAAAAATTTCGAATGGTGAAGCTGACCTCAATATTGCACAGGACATCGTTAAAGAGGACATAAGCATGACAAAAACGTGTCATGTTACATTTCTCGAGTACGGGAAAAACCAACTATGACGTCACACGTAAGCTAAATAAGCGAAATAAGATATACCTACATAAGATTTCCGTCATCAGCCATGCAAAAATAATTTTTGTGTTCCCCGTTTCTCAAAATATTTCATCATATACTAATTATGACCTGTTTTTACATAATGACACCGCCCCTGTATTCACCGAGTATGATCTTGCTGTACTAACAGATCGTGTATGACGTCACCGACTTGTTGGACGCGCAGTTTAGGGAAACAGAGGAGTGGATCAAACTTTTTCATAATTTGTTGATGTTTACAAGAATGTTAAAAATTTTCATTTTTTTTTTATATAAGATGGTAATTAAAGTTAAAAAATTGTCAAAAAATTATACAATAACTGATGCTTTACACATTTTGCACTTATATAAACGGAGACTACATATGACGTAGTTAAACAGAGTCATGTGACCATGTGTCCTTCATCCCCTTAAATACCGTATGTCTAATGCATGGTGAATATTGTCTGATCCATGGTGAATTCTGACTTATTTAAAAAAAAAATCGGGTTTTAATGATATTTTCTCAATAAAGAGCACACAATTGTGTCAAAAATTTATATTTTAACCATTTACTACATGTTAAGTTCCATTTTGATATCGGTAGCGATATCACTAGAACTTGTTGAAGTGCGAGGGTGTACAATGCATGGTGAATTCACCCTGGCTAGTACATACTTTTCAAAATAAAAAAATGTACTCTCTTCATGAAAATGATAATTTTCACTTTCAGTTGAACAATTGGTCGAAATCTGAATATGTTAAATCGGTTGAAAACTTAAGAAACTGATGCAATGCAAAACTTAAACCATGTCTAAAAATCCCTAAACCTTTTAAGACAATCATAATTTCTAAAAGCCTAAGGAATTTTGTTAGCATCGTAAAATTCTGATTTCAGCTATGTCACTCCATACTGCCCTAAAAGTAATTAAGCCTCATATATGTAATTAATTCTAAGCATTACATTGTTTTTATTGTCATGCAAAGTTTGACAAATCCTTGTTTATCACAAAACTCCCAATTACATCTCAATATTCAATATGATCCCTGAATTATGCATACATCCCCTTTTCATCACCAAGATTGCAATTTTATTGATGGATCAACAGCGAGTGATGAATGCGGTAGATAACACAATTGTACAGACTCCATCAAAGGAGAAAACAGCGGCCATCCTTGTATGCTTGAACTTATAATGATATTGTACAAAACAAGCATATATAGTTACGCTGATTATGTCATACACTATATAACCCATAGTATTACGCAACATGCCAATAACTATACTAATCATCCTGTACCGACAACTTTGATTTACTAATCAAATCCATCAATTTAATTTACTCTGCTACCTCATTTCCCCATTTCAGTTCTTTTTATTTGCAGAACCAGTATGTGCTTGGTGGCAGCTTTTGTGTCTTTTGGGGAATTTGTTTGAGGATTCTGTTAACAACACATTGAATAATGCAACATACAGCCTTGAAAAATTTAATTTATAAACTAATTTCCATTAAAATTAACTAAAATATGTCAAAATGGTTTCATGATTCTTTATCAACCCTCAGTTTAAAGACTAGTTACTAGTGTGTCTATAGTCCCAAAGTTATTGGCGATTTCAAAGATCATTTATTCCCCTTAAGTACCAACTCTCCCTGGTTAAGAACAATCTTTCACACAATATTACTAATTCCCTTCATAATTAATGTACAGAAAATGTGGATTATGACACAAAGAAATAAAGAACTTGACCCTTTGCAAGTAGAACATATTTTAAAGAAGAAAAAAAAAAGTGACCTAAATAATTACTGGCACATTGTGGAAGGGATAAATAAAATGACAAAATTTGGCTGCAAAGGGATATTTGTTGACAGAATCTTTGACAAGGAAAATGATCTATCAGGCAATAGCTATATTTATATTGATCTCTTAATGTAAAATTTATTCACCATTAAAAAAAAACTATTACTAATGTAAAGCGGACTAAACGATTTATATGGTGTTCAATCTATCATGTTGCTTGCACTTTCCAGTAGCAAACACATAAAGATAGATGTGCCTTAAGTGCAAGCTGTTTCCTCCTCGAATTACTTTTCACACAACATCCCACTGACTGGTCACATAGCCTGGTCAATAATTCCCCGACGTGTAAAAAAAGATGTATTTTACTCTCAATAAACTACAGTCTGATCATGGTATTTTCTTGGGTCCTTGTACATTTTGAAGGATTGATCATTGGTCCTACACTGCAATTAAATCCTCAGATGTGCAATGTGTGGGTTGTGGTATCAGTAGCACTGTTATGAAATACTCTCCAAGCTGTCGAAATTTCATCAATAATGGACCAATTAATGAAGACAAAATAAACTCTGACCTACACCTTAAGCAACATTCTTTCTCATCTACTGTAACCTTTACATAGACCTGGATGTGGTAAGGACTTAGAAATTATAGCCATGTATACTTGAATTGACAAAACCTAATGAATTCGAAGTGAAATATCAGAGAGAAAAAAAAGGGGGAAAAAATGACTGAAGATCACTCTGCCTAATGAAAACCAATGCAACGCTTTCTCATCTAAGAAACTGATTCAAGAAGCATCTTTATTAAGACCATTAATGGAATCAGTGACTGCTATACTCACAGTTCAATAGCCTTGTTCCAATTGATGACATAACCAGAAAGGGTAAATGTTTCAATATTGGCCATGTGGACATTTCCCCTCTCTGTGCCTACATACAGCCATTTACTTTGGAAAGGCAAGTGGCAAAAGGTTATCCTGCAAAATAAAGAAAAGCATTATCAGCATATATTTTCATGTCCTTTTCAAAATGAAAATTGATTTCTATTATGGGAATTTATTCAAGGCAAACACAAGTTCTTTTATATTGACACATTACAAACTGTTTTGTTCTTCTTTGCTATGTTGATGGCAAAAAAAAACCTTTTCATAGATCTATATTAATGAAGTACATTTAAGTCAGATTAGTTTTTGCTGATGCATCAAATTATTTATCCATGCTCAATTTCATCTCTTTTACACTATTACAGGTATGTAATTCATGCTTTATCTATATAACTATTATCAAACTTCATAAAATCTATATAACCCTATCAAATTATAACATGTTGCACACACAGTTACCATTACAAGATACCAATCATAAAATTAATGTGATACTAGCTAGAGTATCCGATTTTCATTATTAACGCAAGTTAAGAACACCTTTTTTTCTGTGACAGTCTGTGCAACCTGAGATAATCATGGCCTCTATAGCAAGAATAACTAGACCCCTTCAATGCCAAGACAAGCATCATGAAATCCAATACAATTGATCTATGTGTTTTGTGCAGGAATCTGGGTCATTTCATCATAGTTGTCCATGAAAATTTCAAACCCAGTCATTGTTCAATTGCTGCATAAACAATGGATTCCGTCTACCCGGAAACAAAGTATTACCGATAAAATGCAGAAAATTGTCCATCTAACTCCTCAATCAATATTTCTCTTTGACCTTCACCTGAAGTTTCTAAATTATCATATTCATCTTGACTAATTTTTTTTACCACTTGACTGCACAAAACAGAAGTTCAATGAATTAGAAAGCTACTGTTTGTCACATCATGTGGCATACAAAAGACAGTTATTGTGCTACATTTTATTGAGCTAAATCAATTATAGCTTTACTCATAGCCACTGTCTACTGCAATCATTGTTGAAGATGTAGGACTCAGATGAATAAATATTTACCTTTACTATAAAGTAGTGGAGATACTGAATCAAGTGGGTTATGATGGCTGGTGGATTCCAGCAAATAGAAGAGAACACTGCACCACTTATATTTTTTTTTAAGTAGACCAGACCATACATACCGTGATAATGCTTAACATAAGGACAACATAATAATAAATACTTGGATGGACTGTCCTTAGTATAAGTAATTCATAAAGCTGTGACTGAATGGGAGTAGTTCACATAATAATTTAATCTCAAGTTTCAGCTAGTGCACATATATATATATCATGTATATGTAAGTGTACACTTTTTGAAATTTTAAGATTTTAAAAATCATCCTTTTTTCCTGCAAACCAAATAAAACATCGATCATTAATGTAATATCGAAGTAATACATGGGTGGAGCTTTTATATATATTTTTCAAATTGAAAATAATGAGGGTGGGTAATAATAAGGGCAGTGGGCATGGAGGTACGGGCATTCATAATGTTCAGTATTCATGCAGTTGCACAAACATTATCAGCGCTTGTCAAAGAGGCATTGCCATGATGTCCAAATGAACAACACAGCTGTTCATTAAGACTGCTTTTTGGAGGTATAATGATACAGTAATTAGTTGTGTGTTAATTGCCACAATACGCATATACTGTATCACCACTGTAGTATCATGATACGTTTTAGAACTCTATCCCTAATTAATTAAAAGTCAAATATAACTGATTTGTATTTTTTCCTCAGTACAGGGTTTTGATGTTTTTTTGGTATGCTGAAATGTGATTCGGCAACAAAGAACATGGATTCCGAAGACAAATATGGCACATATCACTGATGGAAAGAACCAAATGGACCAATTTTTAAGTTGGCAGATTATAAATTCTTTAAGTAATGAAACTTTGACTAAACAATACAGCAACAGAATTAAAACCTAGACTAAGGAATATATGATCATAGCACATTACAGCTCAATCACATGAGTTAAACACAATCATATAAGATTGCCTCTCATCTCTGATAACAAGAGATTTCTTCAAACACTTTGGCTACAGGTTAACCAACAGAAATGGTCTTGTTGCAGTGCAATATAAATAACTTGTCTCCATAAAAAATACAATACATTTTTTAACTTCATTATTGGATCAATTGTGATAAGCTGATAGAAGACAAGAGTAATCAAGTTTGAGTAATCTGGCTAGCATGGGAAGATCATTTTTTATAATTTAAGTGTTGATAAATATTTGTTTCACTTTCACATTGCTGTCATGCATATGCTACATGTCCTTAACATACATGCATAATACAATGCTGGCATAACCATGGGGTTTGTTGGGAATGTTATTATATCACCTTAGAGAAGTTTTATGTATTTACCACTAATAAAATCTGACTTCTATCAAGAAAAGGGAAGATTTCTTTTATCTTTGTAAAGTGCCTAACTTACTTAATAGATGTAGTGTTGGGCATTTATCTTTTCAATAATATTGAATGTGCATATTGTATATATATATTTGTTTAAACCCTTTCTGACTGAAACACCATCAATGACCTTTAAGGAGGTTGGATCCCGCCATCAAAAGTAATGAGAATTTTTTATCAAGTATATTTTTAGAATTTATACACATAGCTTTATTAAAAATCAAAACAAAAAATGGGGGTCACTGCGCTTCTTTTGGCGCTACAGAGCATTTAGTTTGACCTTTTTGCACTGTAAATACGTCTTACACATAAATCAATTTTTAAAGTTTTTCCTACAATATGTTTTGTTCAAATAAATTATGGTGAACAAACACAGTCTTATTTCATCTTAAATGAAAACATTAAAATTTGTAACAACGAAGAAATTTTCGAATTACTCCACATGTTCAATTATTTGACCTTTCTGCACTCACACATTTTCATTTTTCTGGCATTAAAATTTAACAAGCAAAAAAATCATTTGAAAGTAATGACATTTTACTGACGTTAAGAAGAATGGTTAAAAGTATCGTATATATTCAGAAAAGAAAGTTAAAAGTGGGGGTCTGTGATGTTAATTTTTAGATATTACTAAAATAGTGCTAATTTTAAGCTTAAATTAGGGCTATTTTTTTTCTTCATTTCCACAATATATTTGCTATATTTATCAAATATGACGATAGAATTCATGACAGTTTATTTAATAGATAATTTAGGACCAGTATAAAACAGTCCACTGCACAAAATAACTATGTGTGCAGACTGCATGTAAAAATAGGAATCCAAACTTAACATACTTTAAATACTTCGAAAGAGAAAAAAATGATCATTTTCTTCTAAAAAACCTTCCGCCACAAAATATAGTTCCTCACTTAATGCTTTTGGTATGGAATTTAATCATGGAGTTTTAACTGAATATAGTTAAATTGGCATTGTAGAATCTAAATTTATTGTAAGAATTAAAACATTATGCAGAATTTTTGAAATATAGGTTAAGATAAGAATCTGCTCAAAAGCTCAGGAGCGAACCTCGTTAAGAGTTATTAACACTATTAAGTAAAACTTGATTATAAAGAACTCACTTATACAAAAATCTGTTATAAGGAACTTTTACGAATCCCATAGAAGACTTTGCACTATATACCTAATAGAATATACCGTATAATCCCTATAAACCGCCCCGAGCACTTAGAAAATTGCGAAAAGGGGGTGGGTTTTTTTGAATTCTAGTAATAATTTTTTATGTCATATTTTAACTTCAAAAAATCTTTTGAAAAAAAATAAATTCAGAGAACCACTAAAATATTGTCCAAATTTCCTTGAAGATAATCCATCGAAATTATGCTATATGATTCATTTTTCCACTGAGAAATTAGAGAATACAAAAGGAGAACAAATTTTGTAGGTAACTTTCACTTTCAGAAATACATAATGATTAGATTGTTCTAAAAATCTTTCACTTTCAGGAATACTTTAGAAATGAGTTACCCAATAACCAATTTTCATTTTCACTTTCTTCAAATTATGGCGGACTTTTGATACGATTCTAGATGATTTTAATCACTGTACATGGGGCCCTTATTTTCAGACAATTGAAAAAGACCTAGGGGGCGCTTATAGGGGCAGGGGCGGTTAATAGGGATTATACGGTATATAGAATCTTAGTTACAGCATGGAACTTCATATCTCGAACACATCATATCTCAAATACAATGAATATCTTGAAGTCAGTTGGAAGTCCCAACTACTTTTTCTTTGTGTACTTTAACCTCAGTATTTCAAATACCCGGATATCTCGAAGTTTTTTCTTGCTTCCATCTAGTTCAAGATAAAGGGGTTTGACTGTATACTAGCAAGCAAAATTTGTAGTTCCTATGACTTCCTCATAACCAAGTTTTACTCTACATCTTTCATAAAACAGCAAAAATCACTGCAAAATTGAAATTTGCCTCTTTCATCTCCAGCAACTTTATACCACAATGAGACCTTGTATACCAATTTGCAAGACAGGAAGTCATTTCTTAGAAAACAAATCGTTCTTAATCAATAACCTCACAAGGAATGAAAAATCCCAAGCAATAAACCCATCTTAAATTCAACATTAAAAATGATTGGAGAGAGATGTAAGTCTGATTGTTTCCCTCCAATTTCCCCTTGTTATTTTGATGCTGGAGATAGAAATTTCAAGGTCACTGACACAGCCAGGGCAAATTAATACAATTGATTTTTTCACAGTTTGGTATCAAGATCAGATGCCTGCTGACACTGTATTACTTTAGAACACCACATTTGGTTTCATTAAGAGCACTTAGATGGAGATTATGTACAGAAATGGATAAAACCAAGAGAGTGACAGCTAGGCTCTTTGTTGACACTCTCAAATTGGGCTCAAATTAGCCCTGCCTTAAATAAGTCCAGAATATTGATATATTTTCTCAAGTTCCAATTGTAAGGTACAGCATTCATTTTTTTTTTAAGTTCTGAACTTCTAACTGTAAATCTCATTTGTCTGCACAATTATTTATCATGCAATTCCTGCAGAAATTGAGCAAACTCAGAATCTGCATTTAAATATTTTGCAGAACTCATAAACAATAATCTTAAGTACACAACATATCAAGAGTATGAATGTAACTGGAAAGAAATGGTCAAATATACTAAAACTGCATCAAAGAGCCATGCTTCCACATAACATGTACTATAAATGGAAGTTCCCAAAAAGAATTAATGGCTTTTAAGCATCAGGTTTCCTGACATAAAAAGAAGCCTTTAATGACCTTAATGACTTCGCACATTAGATAAAAGCATCCTGGTTACATACAAGTAAAAAGAACCTTCTTACACACTACACTGCAACTTCAACATTCTTATCTCTTCCTGTAAACACCATGATACGTCCTGAATGAAACACGTTTTGAAATCGATGAATTTCGCTCTTTGAGTCTTCTGGGAATTATTCGTCATAAAATCTTAACAGGGACAACAATGGTTTTGTGTGTGGAAAAAATACTACATTTTAAACTGCTTACTATCAGTTTAATTAAAGTAATTTCAATGCCACCAAAATCAATTTCACTTCCATATAGGCAATATTCTACGCTGACCATGTTAGACCCTTTATTCCAATTCTAATGTTTCCATTCATTGAAATATTGAACCTCTAATCACTGACCTCTGAGCTCCTTTGACATATACTAGTACTTAGTATATAAAGATAAAAAGATTCATAGATCAACTGCCCTTTTTCATCAAAAACCATATACATGATGTAACATCATTCATGTAGGAATACCATATATGGTACAATTATATCCATTAGTGTTAAATAATTGGAATATCCTTATAATCTATCATTGGTTATAACTGACAGAATTAATTCAAAGAATGATCAAATTAGCAAATTTAATAACATTATTATTCCAGTGGTTTATGTTGAAATGTGCAGATGCAAACTTCTTTAAAAGCTAGAATCAAAGATTTTATCACAGGTTCCTTTGCCCAACCCATCCTCAGTCTAGGCTGCCATTTTATCTGGAATATAGCAAACTATGCAAAGTTCATTATATTTCTTCAGTGATGATTATGAAATTTGTAATAAATGACCAGAATCAGTGAAGCCCATTACTATGGAAGACCCATGGTTGGTGACAATGGTATATAAAAAATGTCATCATGTGTGGCAAAGACTTTTACCAGGCCAATAAGCTTGAAATTAGATGACAAAACTGTATGAAATTGATCTCCATTATAGGCCAATATATCAATGCTATTCCCTTATGCTTTCTGGGTATAAAATGCCTTGTAGCCGTTAACCTTTCAAACTTGTTTTAAAAAGACTTTTTTTGTCTTCTCATAAGTCTCAGAATAAACATGATAAATGCACTTTCATTATTTATTCTGAGAAATCAATTTCTTTTCACTTTTGTTTTCCGTACAAAGATCTTTTCAGATGTTCATAATTCATTACTAATAATAAGATTGAGTTGTCTCTCTTTTTCAAAAATATGCTTTTATCGAAGTGCCAGGGACAAATTTTGTTCCCTTACAAAGTATGGAAATACAAAAAGTTTATAATACATCTTAACTACAGCGAATGAAAATCACTTCGTTGTTAAGCATGTTTTCTGTAACCATGTTTTATTGTGTAAGCAAAACAGTACAGGGATAACTAGTGTTGCTTAAATAACAGCAGAGATAGTTGAGAAACATTATATTTTTTATGATTTATGGTTGTTATGCATTCAAACTTTGTCAGAAAGACTTGTGATAGGAAAATAGGCAAGACTAGTTTGTGCAATATCACTTATCATCATATTTTTTTTAACAAAGAAGCCCTACATGCATTCCAAGATCTGCACAGCAACCCAATAATCAAAGACAAATCATACAAGCTAAATCTGATAATATTTCAATCTGCTGCAATTGTGAAAAATGATCTCCATACACCATTTTTTTTAATAAGCATTCATATGGATTATCGTTCATAAATAGTAAATAAAGGATTTTTTTCATGATCAATCCATTTAAAAACTTTATCCATTAAAAATACAAACCTTTCTCTTTGGAATTTGAGTGTGTGCACAATTTCTGGTCTTTTCTGTCTGTAGTTCCAAAGGTGTATACTATCATCTGAGCAAACAGTAACAAGTGCACCCTACAAAATGAAATTATTATGTTCAAAAACTATACAACTCTATCAACAAGCATTGCAAGTCTTCAGGAACTGTGTCCAATCACCAGCAGTCATTAGGACTACCACTGTCTTGAAAAGCTGGATAAAAATATCTTTTAATAGTAGAAATGTACTATATCAGGATGACACATACTTTACAATGTGCATGCTGATTGCAGCAATTTTCCCCTTACATGCTCAAATAAAATATGATTTCTTAAGAGTTAATTCTTCACACAAAAAAAAGACTATAAGCATTTTATTTGTTATGTAAAAAAGGCCATTGTAGGGTAAATTTTTACCTTTTTTTGGCTTACACACTGTAAGTAAGCATTGCTTAAATGTATCCTACCTTTTTTTCATATTTCATTTTCACAAAGAAATGTATTTCTTTCTTTCTCTTTTTTCCCCCTTGAACAGCAGATTGAAAAATTATACAGTCCTACATAGGAACATTATCTCATACCACAATTTTTCAATTATCGAAGGGAAAAGGGAACCTAAAATAGATTTTTTTTTATCAAGTGAGGAATCAATTACTGCTTCTCTACTAGTGACCTTTGGATAAATGAACCAGCCTACTGAGATGAGCATTTTTTTCTTCCATCAACAATTCTATAAATGAAGACCGATTCATGAAGTCTTTTTTTTTTTAACTTACAAAACACTTCAGGTTAAATCCCTTATATCAAGTATATGCAAACCACTGAAATAATTTGAAAAAAAAAGTTTATGACAAGGTTACAACAGAAAATATATATTTTAGCTTCAGTGATATCATGGATACAATTTGAGCATGTTCGGGCAGGCATATATTCCAATAGTTTTCTAATATTTGTTTGTAAAGTACAGATGTTGATACAAGAGGAACTTCTGGATTTCAACAAGTTACTTGTTAATATTGATAAACTTACAACTCTAAATGGTAATCAGACTGAGTAAACATTCTAAAGATTTCATCATAACAAAAGGTGCATGGACTGCAATGCTTACCCAAGTCAAAAAAAAATCCATACATTCAATATATGTATTAGATACATTCGTGCCCATGGGTGCCAAAATTTGAATCTGTACTATATATCACAATGCTCTAATATATCTGCATATTAGTAAAACTCTAATATTGTGGCCCTAGTTATTTTTAGAATATGATTTTTTGTAAAAACTTTTCCCAATATATTATTCATTTATTTGTTCAAACTATTGAATGACAATTAGAGGAAGTGTAAAAAATGTTGAAAACAGTTAAACAATGGCATCAAAACATGCTTTATATTAAATAAGTAAAAATTTAAACAGTAAAGTTATGTTTTTATAGCATATTTTAAAGAAATATTATGGAAATTCATTTGAAATTGTAGTAAAAAGTTGTGTAAAAATATCATGATTTATCGTGATATTTTTGGGAAAAAATCATGATATATCACGATACGAAATTTTTGCCGATACCCATCCCTATTTATTAACAATTCAAACATATATATAAGATCATCAAAATCTGTTGGGACTTGTGTTTATCATCAAAATCTGTAAGGACGCGTGTTTTATTCATATGGTAATCCTAGATCTTCCTTTCCTTCATTTGATAAAGCTCTGACCTAAACAATTATTGTTGGAGTTTTTAACAAATTACTAAATTCTTCTTTCAGAAAAATACCGAATTATCCCGGACTCGCTTATAATAGGACATAGAGGTTCGGTCCAATATTTAACTCCCAAAAATCTGACTTATAGTTGCATGAGTATATATGGCAATATGACTAGTAAGTTTTGTCTTTTCTGGCTGAGGTCTTGAGAAGAAAAAATTTTAAATGAGTCAGTCTACTCCTTTTTTTTTTAATCTCCTCTTTAAAAAGACCCTCCCCCACCTTTTCAATTACACTTAAATCCCTTTACCTAAAAATACTTTGTGGTAAGTTTCGTTGAAATTGGTGCTTCAGTTCTTCAGAAGGAGTCCAAAATGTCAAAAGGATAGACAACAAACTTTGAACAAAAGAAAAAACCCTGACCTTTCAGCTCAGTTAATTAAAATGGGGGAGAAGAACTAATTAAGACAAGCTTCCCTCTGAGAAAATTTAACTGCCTGCAATCTATGAACAATACTAAAAGGGGGGCACTAAGGCAGATGAAATTGAACCTTATTTTGGTCATTTTCGCATATACTGCAAAATACTGCATCTTTATGGGAGAAACGTTACCTCATTGATAAGGAAGAGGATCTGAATGACAGCCACCTCTGTCCCATGGCTACAGTGGATGTCCACACCAGGTCTTCCCAATCTAATGCTGTGTCAAGGAAACTTTTATATATATACATACAATGGCATTTATCACTTGGTATGAATGAAGGAGCTTTTTCTGTAGTAGATAAAATTGTTTGAAATTTTTTATAATTACAGTAACTGTATAAAATCATAGAAAACAATCAACTCTAACTCCACCTCTCTCTCTCTCTTCTCTTTCTCTCTCACTTCCTGCATTGCAGTCCATACAGTTATCTCAAATTTCTAAAATAAGAATGTTATTTAATTGCAAAATTTTCAAGCTGTAAAAATTTTATTCATTTTATATATGTTCTAGCTTGTAGAAACATGCAAAAACTGAGAACTGTATTACATGGTATGCATGTTTGTATGTGGATATTTTTACAAGGTAGAATTTTATTATGTCTGCATTACAAATCATTTGTTTGGGGATCATCTTTACTGAACTTAAACATTCACAGAGTCATGAACTCCAATACCATACCTATTTTCAAAGTCCATGGTGAAAATTTTGCAATACATTACTGATCACAAAATTTGCAAAAATTTCCCACTTTACAGTATTTTATCAATTTTATACCATATGACCAAAACATCTAAAGAAAGATCAAGCCAATTAACATTTTGCTGAAAAATTCAGCTTTTACTTGCATTCAAAATTTTCATCACATAAAGAGAATCCCTCCCCCTTTTAATTACACTATTCTTACACAAATCCACTGCTTGTAAATATTTATTACTACAGTTATGTATTTCCAATAAAGAAAGTAAATATAATTTAAGTGTTACTTAACCTTTCACTGAATACAAAAAAAAAATCTCTTCTCATAAGGATTTTGATTACAACACTTGAACCAATATCAGGAAACAAACCTCAGGTGAATTTAAAACGTACTGAGAATAATCTCAATTTACAAAAAAAAAAAACCTACTGTACAATTTATGCTACTGACATGCACTCAGAGGCTATTTTAGTATGTGACCTTTCTTAAATTGCATGGATTTACAAATATGTGGATGCATCACCTTTTAAAATGATTGCTTCACATGGTTTAACAACATTTATCAGTAAAGTCACACCTTGCATTAGACCATATCAAGGCTATTCACGGTCTCCAAATCCGTGAACAAACACAGGATAGATGTAAACTTTCATTAAACTTGCTTTGTATTGAACTTCATGTTGACATACATACTTCAAAATCTTTAATAGATTTCAATACAATTCAATTTTGGTAAACTTTATTGGGTTTTCACCTAATTTGACCATCACAACAGTATAGATTTTGATCTTCCACAAGGTTATTATAACCCACTACATTTCTACCCACAGTTGGTATGAATATATTTTGAAATATGAAAATTAATATTGAAAATCTCAAATCCATAACATGGATACTGATGATGAAAATATTCAGAACTGGCCATGATGCCACCCATCTCGCCTATTGCATTTGGGAAGGGGGGGGATCAAGACTGTAACTAAGATACTTAATTATTTCTTTCTATTTAAAGCGTGGATGATACATTAAACTTGGCATTAAGTCTTAAATATATCCAGATAGCTTTAATCCATCAAAATGGCTTCCAATTTAATGATTTCACTTGCACCCATATATTGTGACCCTACCATTTCCTGGCGCAATATTAATATGTTAAAAACTTTCCCCTATTACAAACCTCCACCTACGTCTATTTTTAATTACCATACGTTGTTAATTTTTCATGGTGAAATATTAAACCTTTTAAATATTAGATGTACAAGATCAATTGTATTTCCAAGTCAAAAGATTTACTGCAGGGTAAGAATCAATAAGTATCTTCATCAACAAATTGACTCACAAATTCATCAAAAAAAAAAATCCAAGCTCTTATCAGTATCAATTCCAGTTGACTGCATATTGCTATGCACAATTTAAAAAAAATGGATTTTCACAAAAAGGTAGTATTTTAACACCTGGAGACAACTTGAGAAAAGATATTATCTATTAATTATTTCTATATAAATCATACCAATATAATTATTTTCCTGGACTTCTATCTCTGAATTCAGCATATTAGGTAATATTTTATACAGGAAAATGTTTACTTTTATTCAAATTGGGATTACCAGTTTTGTAAAATTGTATTTTCTATTAAAAATGAATCTCAATTTCAATCCATTTGTTTCTGATCAATATTTCATTCCAAATTTATAAACTTGGCTCATATACTGCAGAACCACTAAAAGCAAAAAAAGTGTATTACAACATTTAGAACTTTCAAAAGTGGACATATTTATCATTTCTTCAATCAAATTGCAACTGTATAATTTAACAAATCTCTAACTGCATTTAAGAGCACATGGTAGAAGAATAACAAAGAACTTTCAGTCAAAAGTAAACAATTATCTTGAATGAGTTCTTCGAGACAAAATCTGGATCACAGTTCCTACGAGACAGCTTAATTGCACATAGTGATGCCTCATCACCTGTCACTTCCAAACTCTCGCAAAGGTAGAAATGACGCAAGGAATGTCACTGACTGTGACAGGCTTTCTGAAGAAGATTCATTTCAGGGCCTGGTGTTCATGACAATATCTCAAAGATCAATATTTTAGGCTTTTTATCTCACTTCAATAAATTTTACCAGTATATATGGTTATCATGAATTAAACAATATTTAATATGGCTAAATTTAACTTACAGCTTGACCAAAGTTTTACTAGTTTTGGGGCACTGGGCTAGTCTTTTTGGCACACACTGTTTAGAGTTGTCAAAAAATTTTGGTACTGTTGGCAAAGCCGGTAAAAATTTGTCTAGATTGATAACTAAACGACCATTTTATTTTGCATGTACAAAATTGAGCCTTATGCAAATTTTAAAAAGATCAAGATCAGGGTGCACAGGTGAAGGTCACAAAAACAGCAGAGATGGCCATATGCTGATGATGGTTGACCAAAATTGTTAAAGCAAAGACATAAATCATTGTCATTTATGTCTCTCAGATTAAAGAAAAGAAACTCGTGAGATCAAAGGCTGTTGTAAATAATAAAGGACATTTTGGTGCAGTTATTTATTTTCCTTTCTTAGCATACAAAATAAGGTATGGTACATGTATCTTGTCTGACAAAACTTTGTCTTGTCCAACAGAACTTTGACTTCGTCAGACCAAATATCTAACAGTGATTTAAAAATTTCGACAACTCCGAGTGCTTGCAAATTGATAGAACTAACAAAATTATATCCAGGTTTGCATTTACTTGCTTAAGTTAAGTGTTTTTCACAGCAATAAAATTAAATCAAATTACAGTTCTACCAGTATTTACAAGTATAATTAGAAAACTTGGTTTCCTCTTTATGGCAAATTCAATAATCCACGTTTTTATGCACTAGTCAGAAAAAAAGGCATCTATTTCTCTTTTCTGCAACACTGCAGCAAGCACATAGCATTAGACGCCAGACTAGATGGAACAAATAAACATCTTTGATTCATTTGGTTATGCAGCTAAATTGAATCAGTAACAATTTGTCACCAAACACTAAGTCTGGTTCAATTTCGGTCCATTTCCTGAAATACAGTGCCTGCAATTGACGAGTTGATGACATTCTACATATAATCGTGTAATCACAGCTATGTAACACAGTGGGCCTTAGCTTCTGTTATAACAATATTCATCAATAAATTGATCTGTTTCGACTTTGTTCAAGTGTCTCATCCACAAAGTGTGTGCGGCTAATGTGAACTTTAGCTGTATGTTGCAGATCGAGACAAACACCACCAGTCATTGAAATTAAATACTTTTAAAAAAGTATATGTGTATGCATATTTTCTGGGGCATCATCCTTGAACCTTAAAAAAAAAATCAGAGATATCATGAAATCTTCCCCTATCTACTAGCTGTAAAGACTAATGATAGAAACTACAAAGGTATTTCCTTTGGTATCAATAGAAAATATAGCCCAATAATGTTAAAAACTTAGTTTTAAAAGAATTTTTCAGCAAAAATAAAACAATAGCACTTCTGATTATTGAGTGAATGATTCTTTAAAACTCCTACATGTCCTATATTGAAACTTTATGTTGTAATGGTCTATAATATTTTTACAATGTTTGAAAGCAACATCATATGGGATTAGCAATAACAATGCCACTAAAACGTTACCTAAACAAGGGAATATGTTTGATCAAGTTGAGGTCAATATATTCATCCTGTGACAATTTGATTCAACCAACGTCATTCCTAGTCTTTTTGCAAGAACCTAACTCAATAATTGAGAACAATCAATTGGTTTCTACTCAGATGACAAATATAAATGTTCATAAAATATGGATCTCTCTCAAAAAAGTAGCCATCAATAAAAAGACAAATTAGAAAAAAGTAAATATTTGACAGAACTGTGCAAATATGACAAGGCAAAAAATGTTACAAATGTTCAAATAATTGGCACTCAAAACCAGGAAGCCACCTGATTCATTTACCTGGCTGCCTTTTCACCTTTTTATTTAAAAAATATTCACTTTCTTACATTAGACACAGTCCTTAATTTTTGAAAATCGACAGCTTTTCAGCAAGATACACATGGTACGAACTTTGGTGCAATCTCCCAATTCTTGTATAGATCTTCAATATTTTATAAGAACGCATCATGTTTACTCCTTCATACAATGGATATAGCTCACAGGATATTGTTTTCATATCCACGATTGTGACGTCACCATAGTTTTTGCATGAATTTGATTGCAAATATTGTGGATTTACCTATAATGGTGTTAAACATGAAATAGCTATGTGTAAAACATGTGATGATAAGAAACTCCCATGATTTTGGTTAGAAATGATTCTTTACATTCACAATTTTTGTTCCCCTTTACTCATAGATGCTATATACCAAATCTTCTTGAAATAGTTCCAGCAGTTCAATAGAAGAAGTTGAAAAAATTGAAATCTTGATGGACAATGTGCAACACTCAACGGATGACAGATTTGTACAGCTACCTACCATGAATGATATTGCCATGAAGCATACCAAATAG